ATATGGTGGCTCTGCCTGTAGTCCCAGCTATTCAGGAGGATGAGGCGAGAAGATTGCTTGAGCCCAGGAGTTTGAGGCTGCAGTGAGCTATGATTGCACCACTGCACTCCAGCCTGGGCAACAGAGCAAGACCCTGTCTCAAAATAAACAAGTATATAGAAGGTAAATTTTTTATGATGAAAAAAATCAAAATTACAAAAGGTTATTCAATGTGAAAGACATCCACCTTCTTGGTCCCCTCCCTAGAAGCAATTACTGTTACCATTTCCTTGGACACCTTTTGAGCTCATCTTGGCTTGTGGCACTGTTCCATTATATCCCCTCCAAATTCCTGTGTGGAGTCCTAACATCCAGCACCTCGTAAGGTGACATGATTTGGAAATGGGGTCTTTACCAGGGTAATCAAGTCACCATGAGGTCATCAGGATGGACCCTAATCCATATGGCCAGGGTCCTTGTAGGGAGGGGAAATTTGAACACAGAGACACACACAAAGAGAATAGCATGTGAAGAGGAAGGCGGAGGTCAGGGCGATGCTTCTACAAGCCAAGGAATGCCAAGGACTTTGGGCACACCACCAGAAGTGAGGAGAGGGGGAGGAACGGATGGCACCGCAGGGCCTCCAAAGGAGTCAGCCCTGCCACAACGGGACCTTGTACTTCTAATCTCCGGAACTGTGAGATGACACATTTCTGAATGTGTGGGAGCCTCAGCAAATGAACATAACAAGCATCTATGTATCCCTACCCCTTTTTTCATTTTTGTTTTTGTCTTTTTTTTTTTGAGTTGGAGTCTCACTCTGTCACCCAGGCTGGGATGCAGTGGCATGCTCACAGCCACCGCAGCCTCAACCTGCTGGGCTCCAGTGATCCTTCCACCTCTGACTTGCAAGTAAGTAGAACTACAGGCACATGCCACCATGCCTGGCTAATTTTTTTGATTTATTGTAGAGACAAGTGCTTACCAAGTTGCCCAGGCTGGTCTCGAACCCGTGGGCTCAGGCAATCCTCTCACCTCCACCTCTCAAAGTGCTGGGATTACAGGAGTGAGCCACTGCACCTGGCCCCTACCCCTTTTTTCACCCCGAGTGGCATCACATATTACACCTTATTTGGTACTTGACTGTTTTTCACTTAACGATTGTCTTGGAGATTGTCTGTGTGCTGGTTCTCCAATCGCCCATCTCCCACCCACAAGCCTGTGCCCCAGATGTTCTCTGTGCGGACTGCGGTACCTGTGATCATGCCTCCAAATTCTGGTTGATTGCCGAGGGGAGGCCCCAGAAGGAAACTAGAAGTGGAAAGAGTAACAAGGATATTTTTTCTTTTTTTTTTTTTTTTTGAGGCAAGATTTTTACTCTGTTGCCCCAGATGGAAGGCAGTGACACAATCATGGCTGCTTACCACAGCCTCCAGCTCCTGGGCTCAAGTGATCCTCCTGTATCAGCCTCCAGAGTAGTTGGGACTACAGGCACGTGTCACGACACCTGGCTAATTTTTTTATTTTTTATTTTTGGTGTAGAGATGCGGTCTTGCTATGTAGCGCAGGCTGGCCTTGAACTCCTGGGATCAGGTGAAGCCCTCTGCCTCTACCTCCCAAAGGGCTGGGATTCCTGGTGTGAGCCTATACTCACACTTACCTGTTTGTAGTTCCACAGTATCCTGGCTGCTCTCCAGCTCTTGTCCTTGGAGTATGCCCCTCCTTCACAACCCCTGGCCTCATGAGCCTCATTGGCAAAATGTCCCCCTCAACCCTTCAGCCCCAGGAATGGTGACAGCACCATACTGTTGCTGGGCCCTGCTGCTTGACCGTCCTTTGCTGGTTCCCTTAACCCTGCCTGTGCTTCCTTCCTGTGGCTGCTGTCTAAATGACCACAGACCAGGTAGCTTAAAACAACAGGAAGCTATTCTCTCCCAGTTCTGGAGGCCTGGAGTTGTCAAAGTATCAGCAGGGCCGTCTGCCTTCCAAAAGCTGAAGGGAGGGGAATCCTTCCTTGTTCCCTCCAGCTTCTGGTGGCTGGTGGCTCCAGGCATCCTTTGACTTGTGGTTGTTCACTCCAGTCTCCGCCTCCGTGTTCACATGGCTTTCTCTGTGCGACACTGGATGCTGGATTCAGGGCCCAACAGATGATCTCATCTCACGATAACTACATTTGCAAAGTCCCTTTTCCCAACGAAGGTCACATTCGCAGGTTCCACAGGTCAGGATGTGAGCAGATATTTGGTGGAGGGAGGACATTATTCCTCTTACAACACTGCTCACACCTCTATAAACAGTCTCTTAGATTCTCTTCAGTTAAACTCTTTTGAGCATACATCTGTTTCCTGCTGACTGATGCATTTCTATCCAGAACAAATACAGCTGCTACCTCTTCTTGTTTTTTTGTTTTTTTGTTTTTCTTTGAGTTGGAGTCTCAATCTGTTGCCTAGGCTGGAGTGCTGTGGCATACTCACGGCCACCCCAGAATCGACCTGCTGGGCTCCAGTGATCCTTCCACCTCAACCTTCTAAGTAACCGGAACAACAGGTGTGCACTACCACGCCCAGCTAATTTTTCATTTATTATAGAGACGAGGTCTCACCAAGTTGCCCAGGCTGGTCTCCCAGGCTCAGGTAATCCACTCACCTCGGCCTCCCAAAGTGCTGGGATTACAAACTGAGCCACCGAGTGGGCCGCCTACCTCTTCTTAACAACCGCTTAGAATCTGTTTGCATGAACAGACTTCACAGTTAGCATTTAATGAATTACTATTACTTATCTCCCCCAGTGCCTGGTGGGATGCATTACAAAGATAAATCTGAGGGGGCCCCCTTGGCAAGATGTGGAGAGAACCAGGGTTCGTGTATAGCTCTGACTCAGCAGTGATTCCTGGAGGTTTATGCCTTGGCAGATGCATGAGATCCCTGCGTTCAGGGCTCAGTGAGAAAGAGAGGTGTCCAAGGATACCATGTTTTAGCCGGTCTTAGAGAGGTGGGGCAGGAATGGGTTCAAAAAGACATTCAATGGCCAACAGCACATGAAAATTTGCTCAACTTCACTAGCCCTCAGGGAAATGCAAATCAAAACCACACTGAGGCCAGGCACAGCGGTTCATGCCTGTAATCCCAGCACTTTGGAAGGCCAAGGCAGGAGTTCTGCCTGAGCCTGGGAGTCCGAGACTAGCCTGGTCAACATAGCGAGACCGCATCTCTACGAAAAATTTAAAATCTGACTGGGTGGTGCATGCCTATATTCCCAGCTACTCACAAGATTGAAGTGGAAGGATCACCAGAGCCAAGGTGGTTGAGGCTTCACTGAGCTGTGATCATGCCACTGTGCTCCAGAGTGAGACCCTGACTCAAAAACAAACACAAAAAATAAAAACCAACCACACTGAGATACCAACTGCATGCCCGCTAGAATGGCTATAATTTAAAAGATTTAATAACAAATGTTAGAGATGTGTGGAGAAATTGGAACCTTTCTATGCTGCTGGTAGGAATACCAAATGGTACAGCCACTTTGGAAAACAGTTTAGCCATTACTAAAAAAGTTAAACCTAGAGTTAGCACATGACCTTGGCAATCCCATTCCTAGGAATATACTCAGGAGATATGACACAAAATATGTCCACACAAAAACTTGTATACAAATGTTCACAGCAACATTATGCATAATAACCACAGAGGAAACAACCCATAACTCAATCCACTGATGATAAGCAAATGAAATGTACAATATCCATACATGTGATATTAGTCGGCAATAAATGGAATGAAATGCTGATTCATGCTACAACGTGGATGCACCTTGAAAACACTGTGCTAAGTGAAAGAAGTCCCAAAAGAGCACACCGCACAATTCCACTTATATGAAGTGTCCGGAATAGGCAAATCCATAGAGACAGAAAGTAGATTAGTGGTTGCCAGGGACTGGGGGAAGGAGGAATTGGTAGGTGACAGCTAGCAGGTACGGGGTTTCTTTTGGGGTAATGAAATGTTCTGACATAGATTATGGTGATGATTGCAGAACTCCGTAAAGAGACTAAAAACCACTGAAGTATCCACTCTAAGTGAATTGTACGGCATGTGAAGTATATCTCAATAAAACTGTGAACAAAAAAGAATGCCGTGGAGGAGAATCTTTTTGGGTGACGTAAATTGCAAAAGCTTGGGAAGAAACTCCAGTAAGGCTGAGGCTCCGTGACTGGGGAAACAGTAAGGAAGCCCTCATTCCGAAGAGAACCAGAAGGTTTCACATGACACATCCCATCTAATAGTGGGTACCAGGAATGCTCCAAGAAACAGCAGGAGAATAATATCCCCTTTTCAATTCTTACCTCAGTGACCCCTAGCATCATACAGAATTATTAATCAGGAGTGGACACAAAGGCTCACAGAGGTTCGTTTGGCCAAGATCTATCAGCTAGAAGGTTGGCCATCGGAGATTTCAAAAGTTTGTGGGGTTGGGTGTTGAAGGTGCAGGAACCCATTGTAGGACCATTGCAGGGCGCCGGGCAGGCCCCAGTTCGAACCTCAGCCTTTCCACTTCATAACCATACGGCTTTGAGCACGTGGTTTTACTCGTCTGCACCCACTTTACCCGCCTGCAAAATGGGGATGTCTATTTCCAACATGCATATTCTAATATTTGCACGAAATCCTCACTAATTGACTCATGGTGCCTGACAGCTTCTCTAAGCCTCAATTTCCCCATCCCTTTGAAAGCAGGCAAGAGTCCCTAGTCTTGCCGTCCCTTCTCAGGGCCGTCTCAGGGCTCAGTCATGAAATACAATAGGGCAGTGGCGAGAAAACAACTGTCCGGTCTGCACCGCCCTCAACGCGGAGCCGGCCGGGCGCCATCCCCCACCGATGTTGGGAACCAGCGCCCTCTGCCGCCTCCGCCGCGGCATTGGCGTCTCCAGGCGCCGCCGAAGAGCCTGCGCCTGCGCAGATGCGGGCGCCCAAGCCCGCCCCTTGAGAGTGTGACTTCCCCGAGGGGCCCCGGCTTAGCCACGCCCACTTCCGACGGGGCGGCAGGGTCGGGGCCACGTGACTTTGTTCCGGCCCCCGTCAAAGATGGCGGCGCCCTGAGCGGTAGCGTGAGAGCGGTCGGGTGAAGACGCTGTTTTGTCGTGCTGGCATAAAAGCAGTGGAGGCCGTGCGCCATGTCGCGACTGATCGTGAAGAACCTCCCGAATGGGGTGAGTGCGGAGCCAGGTCTTGGGAATCTGAAAATGGGGCCAGCCGGGAGCTGTGGGTTAGGGAAGAGGGTACTGGAGAGAAACGAGGGATTTTTCGCTGTCGAGCAGGACTCCACTATTCCCTGAGAGGAGAAGTGACTGCTTCAGGCGTCACAGCGGGTTGGTGGGTACCTGATCTCAACCCCACACTCTTCCTCGTGAGTTGCCAGCCCCCACCTTGTACCGAGTGGCCTGCTCCCACGACCTCTGTCGTCCGATCACGTTTTGTTGTTGTTGTTGGCCCGTGAGTGGATCAGACACTGTGTTTGTATCCTCTCCCACTCGGGAGAATGTTGGGGAGGCACGTGGGGCGTATTATTCTGAGGACCCGCGTTGTAATTCCCACTGCTGCGTTTAGGCAAGTAGGAATACTGAGTAGGTGTGAAGGGCTTTCATTTAAACCATTTATCTCATAAGTGGGGAGCGGTGGCCCAGTCATACTTTTCTGTTTTTATAGAGCCCAGCACAGAACCTGGCACCTGGTATGCATTCAGTAAAAGCACGCCGAATCAGTGAGTGTATAAATAGATGAACAAGTGGTATTAGATGATTGAATGCAGGGTGCTTGAGTGGGTCTTGTTTTTTCCTCTCTCATATGTGTTGGACCATGCCAGACAGCCTTTGTGTTTCACTGTTACTTTTCTCGGAAGGAGAGCCCTCACACCGCTGGTGTGACATGTAAGCTCATTGACAAACTATAAGCCTTTTGGATAGGATGAAAATGTGCTCTGTACTCTTGACTCTACCCATCAGGAATCGCTCTCCTTAGAAAAAGAACGTAAAGCCATTTCCCTTTTCATGTTGTGGTTTTTTTCTTTTACTTTCCTTCTTTTTTTCTTCGTTGGGTGGAAGGGACCTGTGGTTTTAAAAATTCAAATGGTATAGTAGTGTATAAAATGAGCAACAAAGTCTTTGCTTTGTTCTTTGTCTGTCCAGGAGTAACCATCTTCATTGTCTTTTTTAATAATGTATGGATGGATGGATTTATTTATTTATTTGAGTCAGGGCTTTACTCACCCAGGCTGGAGTGCAGTGGATCAGGGCTCACTGCAGCCTTGACCTCCTGGGCTCAGGTGATTCTTCCACCTCGGCCTCCTGAGTAGCTGGGATTGCGGGGGAACTATGCCTGGCTAATTTTCTTATTTTTTGTAGAAACAAGGTCTCACCATGTTGCTCAGGCTGGTCTCGAACTCCTGGGCTCAAGTAGTCTTCTTGCTTCACCCTTCCAAAGTGTTGATTACAGGCATGCGTCACTGTGCCCAGCAGTGGTTTGTTTGTAGGACTCTTCATAGGCTTCTCTGAATGTTCAAGTAGTGTGCTTTCCTCTATTTACTGAACTGCCTGCTTCAGTGACTATGTGCTGAGCCTCCTCTATGAAAAATGAGGAGTGTAGATCATCTATTTTTTTCCCTTGCAGTCTCTGTAATACTATTTTTAATTTTTTTGTCATCCGGTCTAAGTGGTAATAATATCAATAATCTATTATTGATCTAGCTACAGCTTTAGCCAGTGTCTCTTGATGCCTCGCCTTGTGGGTTAGAATTTTAGCATGACTGCCCTTTCTTTCCCTCTCAACTTCTGCTTTGTTGTGCTTCCCCGTGTGGCTTACTGTCTTATCATCATTTGTCTTGTCTGATGAATTAAAGAATAACAAAACAATAATTGTCAGAGCTAACACTTTTCTTTACCATTTTAAAGGTAAAGAAACCAAAGTACAGCAAGGTAAAGGGGATTGCCAGAGGTCACACACAGGTGGTAATTAATAAAGCAGTGCCTGGAACTGTTCCAAGTGCTTTACGTAAAGTAACTCATTTAATCCTCACCATAACCCTATGCGGTAGGTTCCATAACTATGCCCATTTTAAAGGTAAAGAAACCAAAGTACAGCAAGGTAAAGGGATTGCCAGAGGTCACACACAGGTAGTAATTAATAAAGCAGAAACTGAATTGAGAAATCTGGTTCTTGAATTTGCATTCCTGACCACTGCACCATACTGTCTCTTAGCATAATTGCCTGCACTGGTCTTAATCATTTTCCAACAAGGAAAACTTTAGTAATGAGTACTTTTGATACTGTTGACATAGACAGAGGTGGATAAGACTCAGTTCCCACTTTTAAGGAACTTGCAGGCTAGCAGAAGAGACAGACACCAAATTATTATGACACAAGGTACAGGAATTGACATGTGAACTGGGTGCTGTAGGAGAAAGAGGGGCTTATTACCTGACCCATAGAAGGGCTCTAGGAAAGGCCTCCTGGGAGAGGAGATGACTGAACTGAGAATGATGAGTTAGCCACAGCCTGTCTGGAAGATGTCGCCCAAGAGGGACGACCCAAGTAAAACCTCAGAGAGGAGAAACACAGAAAACTATAAAGGGTTTGGCAGGACGAGATACCAAAGAGGTGGGTCAGGGTCAGATCATGAAGACTCACATGTTTTCCTTCAGGTGCCTGCCCCCGAGCCTTTGGGGCTGGGTAGTCACCAAAAGGGTTCTAGTAGAGGAAGGATGGGATCAGACTCAAGTTAACTCTCTCCCAGGGAGTGGGAACTCGAATTCCCTGTCTTTTACATATCCAAACTGAGTCCCAAACTTTGATTTTAGAGACCTTGGGCAAGTCATTTATTCCCTGTGAGGTTCATTTCCACTCTATAACATGTAGATTAAAAAGTCCTAACTCATAAAGTGACTGAGGTTTTAATGAGGTCAGAGTTATTGAGAAGCTATTTCAGAAAATGTCTTCTTCCTTCCAACTGGGCTGCCGAGACTTCTAGTTTCTTGCATTTTCAGATTTCTTTTGACTGTTCCTGGGGCCCTGGGTGCCCCCTCAGCCCCGCCCCACACAGACAAATCTTTCAGTATCTGTTTAGAAAACTCACCAGCGGTGAAGAGGGTCAGGAGCCAGGAGCCGGTTTTACATAGTGCGGAACTTCTTGACCAAATTATACTGATTGTAGTGTATTAGTTTTCTCATGCTGCTGTCACGAATGACCACAGACAGTGACTTAAACACTACATGTTTATTATCCTACAGTTTTGGAGATGAGAGATCTTGAAGTTAAGGTGTTGACTGAGCTTCAGCCCCAAAGTCTCTAGGGGACAATCTGGTCCTTGGCCTTTTTCAGCTTCTAAAGGCCACCTGCCTTTCTTGGCTCGTAGTCACAGCCTCTGTCTCACTGGCCATTCTCATGGCACCTTCAGATCTCTCCCGCCTTCCATCTTCTCCGACCCTCCTGCCTCTCTCGTAAGGATCCTTGAGATGACATTGGGCCCAGGATCATCTCTCATCTCAGGGACCTTCACGTAGTCACACCTACAAAGTCCCCTTTGCCTTATAAGGTTTTATATTTGCAGGACCTGGGCATTAGGATGTGGACATCTTTGGGGGACTCCATTATTCTTTCTACCATAGTTAGCAAACGTTTATATCGTTTACCCTGTCCATTCATTCATTTATTCTGGCAAGCATTTGTTAGGCATCTACTATATAACAGCTGTAATACTGCTTCTGTAATTGGCCTTATCCTCATAAGGGCCTCTTAGGATAGGAAGCTGTTATTTGCAGCCATCATGAGTCTTGATTTCCCCATGAGTGAGTGGGTAAGGGGCTTTCTCAAGGCCATGCAGCTAGTGCTAGAGTCAGAGCTGGAACCTGGTCTCCCTAGCAAAGCTCCTTCTCATCCAAGGCCACCCTTGGAGAATCCTTTGGCAAATCCCTTGGCCTCAGGTTTGCAGCCTGTTTCATCCCGTTGCTCTGGGTCTCCCAGTCCCTCCCTTATTGTGCCTCTTCTGTTCTAGATGAAGGAGGAGCGATTCAGACAGCTGTTTGCTGCCTTCGGCACGCTGACAGACTGCAGCCTCAAGTTCACCAAAGATGGCAAGTTCCGCAAATTTGGCTTTATCGGCTTCAAGTCTGAGGAAGAGGCCCAAATGGCCCTGAACCATTTCAACAGGAGTTTTATCGACACATCCCGGATCACAGTGAGTCAGCGGGCATCTCACCCTTGCCTGCCTGTCAAAAGTGACACCCCTTCATCTTCCACTCAACACCTGGATCCCAAGATTGTCCCTCTTTATGCTGGGACTTCTTTGTTCTACCTCCCTGTTTCACATACTTGCATGTCTATAAGAGTCACCTGAGAGCTTGTTACACAGGGTCGTTCCCAGAGCTTCCGATTCAGTACCTGGAGGTAGGGCCCAAGAATTTACATGTGTATCAAGTCCTCAGCTGATCCGTGTGCTGCTGGTCTGAGCGCCACACTCTGAGAACCACAGGGTTTAGTCATTCATTCACTCACCCAGAATCTAGTGAACATTCGGTGAGCCTGCATGTGATGGTGGGAATTGAGAGAAAGGTGTGATCCCTCAGCCCCTGTTCCCAGGGAGCCAACTGCCTCCCAACAGGCAAATGGGCTGCTTTTGTGCAGTGTCTCAGTGCTTTGATGGGTGAGCACTGGGAACTGTGAGGGCAGAGGAAGCCTCTGCCCTGGCCAGAAGGAGTCAGAAAAGCTTCCTGGAGAAGGGGCCCCACTCATGTGCATTGAATGACTTGGCAAAACATTTCTAATACTTTGTTGGGAAGGAAAAACCAGATAATGGACAAGTCCTGGTATGCACCATGTGATCCCATCGATACACAATCATTATCAATCTACATGTGTATGATACATGCAGGGGGCCATAGGGTAGGATTTTTACCAAAACGGTAATAATGCCTCTTTCTGGGTGATAAGAATCGGAGTGAATTTCTTTTTAACTTTCCTTGTACTTTTTTCTAGTGTTTGAATTTTGTGCCATGAGCGTGTGACATGATTACAGAAACAACAAACCTGTTTCAGAAATCTGCACAAAAGGGCTATGTCCAGATGGCAGCCCCTTCCCCACGGGGCAGTGGTGGTCGGCCAGCATTAGCTTGGGCTGTGGCTGTGCGAGGGCCCACCATGGCCCTCCAGCAGGAACTGCACTCCCAAGGGCATCTCAGAGGAGTCTGTTGGAGGCTCCGGGCCTGGAGTGGTACCTCAGCTCAGGCTCTGGGCCCCAGCGCCTTTCATGCTGCCCATGGTTACCCTGCTTTCCCCATCACCTGGAGTGGCTCTCTGTTCTCACCTTCATTAAAGTAATCTGGCAGCTGCCGCCTGCATTGCCCTGCTAGGCACTGGCTGAGCACATGGCCTGGGTCATCTCATGCCATACTTCTGGTTCAGAAGTCAGGCTCCAGAGTCCAGAGGCGGCCTGTATTGCCATCTCTGCCCTGCCACTTGCTCCCTGGGTCACCCAGGGCAAGCTACTTCACCTCTTTGTGCTTCCGTTTCCTGATGTGAGAAGAAGGGAGAGTAGCAGCTCCAGCCTGCCACTGTGGGAGGCTTGTGTGTTAGTACTTGGAGAGTATTTGAGACCATGCCTGGCATGTGGAGTCCCTCACCAAGCAGTAGTTGTCATTATGGTGTGATGGACTCACAGTAACAGACTACTGTGGTAGTGTGTGGAAGACTTTCAGGAGGAGAAAGCCCAAGTCAAAGGTGACATGGAATCTGCTTCAAAGGACTCAGCTTGGCAGTAGCAATTACCTGTGCCAGGAATCCGAGCTCCCAGCTTCCAAAAGGCAGCACCAGTGCCCAGTGCCGTGGCACACATGAAACCACTTTCTCTCCCACACAGGTGGAGTTCTGTAAGTCCTTTGGGGACCCAACAAAGCCTCGAGCCTGGAGCAAACACGCCCAGAAACCAAGCCAGTCCAAGCAGCCACCAAAAGACCCTGCTGCTCCAGAAATCAAGAAAGTACGTAAACGGTCCCTCCAGCCCCATCTCCAGTGTCAGCAGGGTGGTCACTTCCTAGGAAGAAAGGACAGTGGCTCCCTCTCATTTCCTCTCGGGCAGGGTGGTTCTGTCTCCCCTCCCTTCCTCTATGTGACTCTCATTGTGCCTTCTGTTTTCAGGAGGACAAGAAGAAAAAGGTGGCGAGTGAACTGGAGAAGGTGAGTGTGTCCTGGGGCGAGCTGGGAGATGGTGGAGGCTGGCCTGGCAAGCAGAGAGCCATGCCTCTTGTCTCCCCCACCATGTCTTTGTGGTTTCCTTGTCTGATGAGGAGGCCACCCTGCTTTTCTTAGAACTGACCCAGCTGACCCTCAGGGAATGAGGGGAGGTGAGCGTGAAGCCTCTCATACTCTTGATAGGAAGATCAAGCCCTGTGTGAACCTCCTCTGCCTCTTCTTTCTTCCCACATCCCTGCTGCCACAGCTGAAGGAAGATACCGAGTTCCAGGAGTTCCTGTCAGTTCACCAGAGGCGGATGCAGGCGGCCACATGGGCAAACGATGCCCTGGACACCGAGCCCTCAAAGGGGAAGAGCAAGCCGGCCAACGACTACCTGAACTTTGACTCTGATTCCGGGCAGGAGAGTGAGGAGGAGGGAGCCGGGTGGGACCCAGAAGGTGAGGGTGTGTGTGAGCTGTGAGTGTTCCGTGTGGGGGGTCTGTGCCTGCCATTGGCTGATGGGCACTGGGATCTCTCTGTGCCAAATGCTAGGAATCAGATGAGCCAGATACTGCCCTCTTGAACTCTCAAACTGGGGGGATACTCCTACCCGCAGGCACATGTGCCTCGACTGATCTTAGTCACATGTTATTTATTGAGTACCTACAGTATGCCAGGCACACTTTAGGCATTGCGGCCATAGCAGTGAGCAAGGCAGAAGGATCCATGCCCCCACGGGGCTGCGTTTCTGGAGGGAAAGAGAAGCAGAGAGCAAATAAGTACCATGTCGGGTGTGTGCAGGGTGACAGGTGCTGCAGAAGGAAGGCAGGAGGGGCTGGGAGGGTGAGCAGAAGGCCATCCTCAAGAGGTGAGAGAGGAGTCCACATCCTCAGAAGGGGCTCACGGCTGGGAGCGGGGGCATGGGAGGCTGATGGCAAGTGAGCAGTTACAGCACAGTGGTAAGTGCTGTGGCCTGTTGAGCTGGGGCTCAATTTGGGTCTAAATGTGAGAGGATGTGCACTTACTGTGAGTTTTATGCCTAGTAATGTGTCTGTGCTAAGCTCAAATCCAAGGGACTCATAGGACTTGGGGGGACACAGTAGGCGAGGGGAGAGGAGAGGGCTCCAGGAAGGAGCCAGCATCACAGAGGTGCAGATGAGAGGAAAGGGCATGGGCTCAGTGGGTCAGGATGGCGGGAGCAGGAGGAGATGGAGCCGGGGAGCAGCCAGCCCCCTCTGCCCTGAGAAAGAGGAACTTGGGTTCCACATCTGGAAGCCCTAAAGAGTGTTAAGCAAAGAGGGACTATCCTGTACATACTCCCCAAAGCGTCATGGAGGCTGCAGTACAAGGAGTGGATTGGGAGGACACAGCTGGTGACAAGAGCCAGGAGCTCTTGACGTGTGGCACATAGAATATCAAAACTACAGCAGCTTTGCTTATTGGGGTTTTCCTGGGGTTGCTGGTCATGGTGGGTGTGGCACCTCGTGCCACTCACTAGAGTCACTATCTGCCATTTGCTGCCCCAAGGTCCTGGCTTGCTCACAGCTGTCACTGATCCCAGCTTCCTTGTCATTCCAGAGGAAGAAAGCCTAAAAACAAAGGCAGCTGTACAGAAGGAGCTGTCAGACATGGATTATCTAAAATCTAAGGTGGTGAAGGCTGCGTCGTCCTCTTCGGAGGAAGAGGAGGAGGAGGAGGAGAGTGAAGATGAAGCCGTGCACTGTGATGAAGAGAGTGAGGATGAGGAAGAGGATTCCTCCGACACCTCAGCCCTGCAGGAGAGAGAGAGCACAGGGGCAGGCCGACAGCACAGCACTCTGTCTGGGAATAAGAGGCCACAGGAGGCAAAAGCCGAGGTGTGTGTGTGCTGGGCCTCTGAGGGAGGTCTGCCCTTGGGCCCACCATTGGAGTCACCATCTGCTATTTGCTGCCCCAAGGTCCTGCCTATTAGGGGTATGTGAGGTAGAGAAAAGACAGCTTTGTGATCCAGGGACCCTGCTTCAGACCCTACCTTGCTGGTCACTTGCTGTGTGTCTAGGTTTACTTCCTGTGGCCACCCTGGGGAAGTTGCCTCCTTCCAGAGTCAGGTGGAAACCAGCTGGGTGAAGGCTGCGAGCCTCTTGTGTTCAGTAGCAAGGTAAGCAGAAGAGAGTGAGCCAGGCATCAACAGTAACAGAAGGTCAGCAGAGCACTTCCTGCACGTCAGGTTCCGTGCCTGCCATGTCACCAAATGTCATCGCAGTCTTGTGGGGATTCTTCTCATTCCTTTTGAAAGGTTAAGAAACTGAGGCCTAGAGAGGGGATGTGACTTGCCCAAGGTCATGGCTGGGAAGTGGTAGGATTAGGGCTCAGGCCCAGGTCTGTGGGCTCTACCCTGGAGGACAGCCATCTCATCTCCCACCTGGGAGTTCTCTTCTTCAGAGACAGGGCAGTGTGGTGTGACACATCGTCTGAGTCCCCGTTCCATCATTTCCCTAGAAGGACCCTTTGAAGCACCAGCTCTTCCCCTTCCCAGCCCTGTGTTTCCAAAGGAGCCTTCATCCTCTTCTCTCTCCTCTTCTTTCTTCCTCCTTTTATTTTTGGCCTCTTGTAATTACCACGCCCTGTCCTTTTTTCCAAAACATGTGTATTTTGCTGAGGTGTAGAATGCAATAGATTCTAAGAGTTGCAGGTTCAGATTCCCGCTCAGGCATCTAGTAGCTGTTGTACCTTGGGGGAGATCTTTTACTTCTCTCTGAGTCTTATTTGCAAAATGGCATTCATCGTAGCACTGGCCCCTCCCTCTGGTTTCTGAACGCCTGTGCCTTCAGGTTTGCTGGAATGTAAAATATTGAGGTTGCAGGAAGCTAACCCTATATAATACAGTACCCCTGGCAGGGTCAGGCAGCGCTCCATAGTCAAGCACACTAATATTTTTGAGGTGAAACCAGAAATGACCACTGACACTATGTAAATATAAGCTATAAATGGCTCATGTCAGCCCAGAGCTGGCTTTGCTGGGAAGTGAGTTCAAATTGGGCAGGTTTTATTGCCAAACACTTAGTTTTTCGGGGCTATTTGTATTGCCGAATTGTAGGAAAAGACCTTGAACCCATAATCCCTGTGGGATTTTTTTAAAGATTCATTCACTGCAAAATGCTTGGCACAGGGAAGCCCTTAATAGCAAATACCACTGCACATCCAGGCCCTTTCACTCAGCCCCTGTTAATCACACCCATAGCTTACTAGGCTCATTTCAGGGGTGCATGTGGAGCCTTGGCAGCACCTATCTCCACCTCTGGCTAGACCCTTCATCCACAGCAGGCACAGGGCCTTCTCAGCTTGCCCTGGCTCCCTTGGCAGCAGGCGCCGCCTCTGGTGCCGAGGTGTCCCAGTCTGCCACCTCTTGCAGCTGGACTTGGGCACTCACTATGGCCATTTCTGTTTTTCTGATCACTCAGCCAGAAAAACCAGCAACCCAGAAGGAACCCACTACTCCACATACTGTGAAGCTGCGGGGAGCCCCGTTTAATGTGACAGAGGTATGTGCTAACTGAGGACAAGAGTCAGGAGCTCCTGAGGGCAGGAGGAGAGGGTGAGGGTGCCAGTTGCCTTTGCTGCATGGGGACACTGTGGTCAGTTGAGGGTGCGAGCTTGATGGAATTGGGGGCCAAAAGGGCTGAAAAGTAAGATCTCAGGCATTGTCAGGGTCAGGAAACAGGGATGGCTGTGCTAAGACAGAGGAAGACTGGATCCACTCAATGATGTCTACACCAGGGGTAGGCAGACTTTCTCTTAAAAAAAGAAAGAAAGAAAAAGATGGGGGGAGGGGTTCAAGCTGGTCAATATGTAAGGCTTTATGGTCAACACAGCCTCTCATGACTTCTCACTGTGTTGTAGCAGCGAAGCAGTCTCTTACAATAAGTAAAATAGGTGTGTCTGTGTTCCAGTAAAACTTTATTTACAAAAACAGGTAGTGGACCAGATTTGGCCCCTGGACTGTATGTAGTTTGCTGCCTCTGGGTCTACAACACTAGAGAAAACTGTTTTAATTTCCTTCCTCATCAAAGTAATAGAAGTTTAATATAGAAAAATTTTTAAAGTGTGGCTGCATAAAATTGCATCTAAGTAGAATGATTTAAGTTATTGTCCACACTAAGTAAGGGGGTGCTAGCCAGCTGGGGTGTCAGGCAGTGGCTGTAGACACAGCGACCGACGGTCTCAAGCAACTAGGGCGATTCTACCCAACACACCTGTATCCCACTAATGTTCACCAAGACATTTGAGGTGTCTTCTTAGACATTTTTTGTGTGTATAGACTTTCAGCTCTGTCTTTTTATTTTTGAAGAGCAACCCTTTTGCAAGAGCTATTTGGAAACCTTTTTTTTCTTTATCACGATATGTCATAAGTGCCTTTGAATAGTGAATATACACTGCTACAACATCATTTTTTTATATTGCATGTTCTTCCTTACTTAGGATTCACTTTGGCACACCTACCCCAAGCCCTGAATTTGGACATGGAGGTTATTTCCAGTTTTTTGCTGTTAAAAATAATAATGCAATTCCTTGTGATCAGGAGTCAGCAGACTGCCTGGACAGGCCAGATAGTGAATACCTCAGGGTTTACAAGACTTATGGTCTTTGCCAAGCTTTCTTTTTTTAAAAAATAATCCTCTAAAAAATACAAAAATCATTCTTAGCTTGTAGGGCATCTGAAAGCAGGCCATGGTAATAATTGGCCCATAGGCTGTAGTTTGTCAATCTTTGTTCTAGATGGATATTCTGTGCAAGCGTACACATGTATTTTAAGGCTTTGACACAGCAGGTCAGTGGCCCTTTAGAGGAATTACTGATTTGTATTTTCTGTAGCAGAGTGTGAGAATGCCCATTTCCCTGAACCCTGGTCATTACTAATGTGTTAATCTTTACCAATGTGTTATGCACATTTGACATCTCATTTTAATTTACGATTTAAATTATTAGTGAAATCAAGCATCCTTTCATATTTGTAAATCTTTCAGAAAGTGTCTGATTATTTCTTTTGCTCTTTTTTGTCCTTGAAATGTTCATCTTTTTTGATAGTTTATATATTTACTTTTTTTTTTTTTAAGACAGGGTCTCACTCTGTCACCCAGGCTGGAGTACACAGCATCAATCTCCTGGACTTAGGCAATCTTTCCACCTCCACCTCCTGAGTAGCTAAGATTACAGATACGTGCCACCATGCCTGGCTAATTTTTGTGTTTTTTTTTTTTCTTTAGAGATAAGGTCTCACTATGTTGCCCAGGTTGGTCTCAAACTCCTGGCCTTAATTGATCCTCCTGCCTTGGCCTCCCAAGGTGCTAGGATTACAGGTGTGAGCCACTGCACCTGGCCTCAGATTTTTGAAATACAACTTTAAAAAAAAATATTTTTACCTCTTGATATACAGCTTATCATACTTCTTTTTTTTTTGAGTTGGATTCTCACTCAGTCGCCCAGACTGGAGTGCAGTGCCGCTCCCGGCCACCGCAGCCTCAAGCTGCTGGGCTCCGATGATCCTTCCGCCTCAGCCTTCCAAGTAGCTGGAACTACAGGCACATGCTACCACGCCCGGCTAATTTTTGATTTATTGTAGAGATGAGGTCTCGCCAAGTTGCCCAGACAACTCGAACCCGCGGGCTCAGGCAATCCACTCACCTCAGCCTCCCAAAGTGCTGGGATTACAGGCTGAGCCACCAAGCCCGGCTTTATTATACTTCTGAGTAAGCGTTTAGGTTATACTGAACTCTATAAGTTGTCTGACAACTTTGAGTTAGAATTTTCTCAGTATCAACCATACAGAGAATCACATGCTTTAATTAACCAAGCAGATAAAAACCACTAGGTGTCCACTTGCAAAATTAAAAACTAAATATTAATGCTTTAATGAGTAGTGAAAAAAATCAGATTTAACTCCAAGTATATAATAAAGTACTTAGAAAAAAGTTAAAAACAGTGCCTAAAATGTTGATGTGACATTACTACTGAATATTACTCATTTCTTCTCCAATTTTTTCAGAATTTTCTAAGTTAATTTTATTTTGTGGTAGAGAAAAGATGTGTATAACCTAAAGGAAAGAAAAAACTGGAAAGGATGAGAGACTTTGTAATTCTTTCTGATTCAGAAACCTGCCCCGTCTCTTTACGGGGTTGCATTTTTATTATTGGATTGATGAAAGGGAAAACACTTTTCTTCTTACAGAAAAATGTGATGGAATTCCTGGCACCCCTGAAGCCAGTGGCCATTCGTATAGTGCGAAATGCTCATGGGAACAAAACAGGTGAGGTCTGGGATGTTTCTGGGTGGGAACAAGGAGCAGATGGCGAAGGTGGAAGGTCAGGGCACTTGAGTAAAGGGGAAGTTTCAAGGGCATCACTTTTTTTTCTCCCTGTTTGCGGTGCTTAGTTCTGTGGCTGTGGTTCAGCTGGTCAGGACAAGGGTCTGTCTCGTGTCCCCGCCTTTGGCAGCCTGGGTTGTAGGGACACAGTTTTCACCTAGGTTTCTCTTCTTCTCCTTCTCACCCTGGCCTTTACGTACTCCGTGGCGCCTAGGCAAATCTGTCTGACCTTGGTGTGGGGAGTCAGTGAATGTGTGTGCAGCATTTGGTGCAGTGCTAGGCACCTGTTGCCTACTCCTTGAGAGCTGCTGTTGGTGGTGGTGGCCTTGCTCTCATGGCATTACAGAGACCAGAGGGAGCGGTAAGGAACACAACTGAGGCGTCAGGGCCAAGAGAAAACCATACAGGAGGCCCTGGAACTGGAAAGGGCGGGCATAAGCAGGAACTGTGGAGGAGTGGAATGTCCCCTGGGAGAGAGCTGGGGTGGGAGCAGGGCGACCCCTTGGGCTTTGAGGCCTTTTTAAAGATAGGGGCTGCAGCCTGGGTGTGGGAGCCCTGGGAGTGTGCAGTAGGTGAAGGCGGCAACGAACTTCAGTGTGGTCCCTGACTGGGGAAGAAAGGGGTCCCAAACTTTTGCTGTCCTCCAGGGATGTCAGCAGTGGGTTGGACTAGGATGACTGTGCAGGTGAGGGAGGTGGGGGAGGGTACTTATGGGGGTATATGAGAAAAGGAGGGGGCAAAGGACTCAGAGGAAGAGTCTAAACAGCCTAGTAACAGGCAGATCACCCTAGGCTTTGAACCAAGTAATAGGTGCTGCCTCCTATTATCCACGTGTCCTTGGGCACGTCACTTCACTGTTCCAGAAAAGCAAGGAGTGACCCCTACCCTGCTGCCTCAGGGGTTGAGGCCCAGTGAGTTCAGGATGTGGAGGCCTCCCGTGCTCCAGGAGAACCCCCCCTCCCCATGCGCTTCTCTCCATGCGAGTCGAGCCCTCAGGCACTTGGGGCAGAGGTGGTGGAGAGAGTGGCTCTGGTGCTGAACTGGCTGCCACGCTGCAGCTACAGCACTCCAGAGAATGGTCAGGGATGGGGTGAGACTGGGAGCGGGTTAGAGAGGCCCCCTGTGCTTCCGACTCAGAAGTCTGGCAGATTCATGAACAAAAACCAGGCTGGGGCCTCAACGCTTCCTGCAAAGGGAGGGACGGAGGGAGCGAGTTTGTACAGTAAGTCCCCTACATATGAATGAGTTCTGTTCCAGGAGTGCATTCATAAGTCCAGTCCAATTTGTTTGTAAGTTCAACAAAGTTAGCCTAGGTACCCACCTAACACAACTGGCTGTATAGTACTGGCTACATAGCCACTGCTTTTATGCTTGCTTCTGGACATCCTGGGCTTGACATAAAGATACTGTATTACTGTACTCTATACAGTACTGTAAAGTACACAAAAGCACAACCACTTATAGAGGATGCATGCATGTGACAATGTATGCCGGACATGTGAACTAAATTATAAATTACGTGATTGGATATGTGCGCACATTTGCATCTTTGCAAGTTCATAACTTGAAGGTTCATATGTAGGGTACTTACTGTATTTTGGAGGTTTGGCCAGTATAGCAGTTTTTCCCCCTCTTTCTGCTGGTGCAGTGCGTGGGGGGGGGTTGTCCTCTGTGACGTGCCCACATGTTTTCAGGGCCTGCAGATTTTACTTTTGCCATTGTTCCCCCCCAGGGTACATCTTCGTGGATTTCAGCAGTGAAGAAGAGGTGAAGAAAGCCCTGAAATGCAACAGAGAGTACATGGGTAAGGAGCCCAGTCAGGTGCTTTCTCTGCGGGGCTATGGGGTTCATCCAGTCCTTCACTTATACCACATTGTTGCCAAGTGGCAATGCTTTGTGAACACTGTTCTAAGGCACAGCAATGAGCAAAGAGACCCCAGTTCCTGCCCTTCTGGAGCTGATGCAGATGTTCACCTGGGGAGGGGGAAATAGATGGTGATAATCAAATAGTGAGTAAATGCATGGTCCCTGCTGTGAGAAGGCACAGCAGGCCAGGGTCTGGGATAGGGCAGGAGTAAACAGCATTCTCCTGCTTGGGCCTCGCTGAGGGTGATGGTGGGCACAGTCTGGAGCTGAGAAAACAGACTCTGGCAGGATGGGCAGAGTTGGGTGGAGGGAAAAGCAAGTGCAGCTTCCCTGACCAAGAGGTCTCCTGAACCACACCCGGACTGAACCTTTGACCAATTCCCGGCACAGGCAGGTGATTCAGATCCAGTGAAGACAGGAGCTGGGGGTTAGGGACACGGGGCAGCCTCAGCAGTCTTATCAGCACATCAGGAGGCAGGTGTTTGTGGGGCATCCTGTATGGGTGTCACACCCTGTTGGGCCCATGGGCCATGCCCATTAGCAGTTTCTAAGCAAGTAAGAGTCCAGGTTGGGCTTGACGTCACATAAGACCTTGCCCAAGGCTGGGCAGCAAGCGGTGCCAGAGAACGCGTCCAGGATTTAGAAATACACCTCTGTGGTCCGGATTGACCCTGAACTGGCAGGATGAGTGAGACTGGGGACTTTCCTGTCTAGGCCCAGCATTGGCTTAGGCTGCCACCCCAGGGACAGAGCAGGTGTCAGGCCCTGGCGTCTGTGGCCCTGGCTTAGGCCACAGGAAGGCAGCGGAGAAGGGTTTGGAGTTCTGTCAAGTCCCAGGCCTCCTCCAGAGCCCTGGTATCTCTCCTCATGCAGGTGGACGCTACATCGAAGTGTTCAGGGAAAAGACTGTCCCCACAGCCAAGGGTCCCCTGAAGAGCAACTCCAAATCGTGGCAAGGCCGAACACTTGGGGAGAACGAGGAGGAGGAGGACCTGGCCGACTCTGGGAGGCTCTTTGTGCGAAACCTGCCCTACACCAGCACCGAGGAGGACCTGGAAAAGCTCTTCTCCAAATACGGTAGTGCTAGCTTCTGGTCTTGCTGCACAGATAGCATGGCGGCTGTAAAAGCAGGGCTCGGACTCAGATGTCCTGGGTTCAAGTCCTAGTCTGCAGACGACTCCACCTGTCTTATCTCAGCTTTCTTATCTGTTAATTGGGCTAGCCATCCCTGAGTTGCTGTGAGGTGCAGTGACATGATATATGTTGGGGTTCACAGGACAGGTAGTAAAAGGTAACATTACAGGCATCTTCTGCTGTCAGAACCTGTGCTTCCTGACTCACTCCCAAACTCAGAACTGAAGAGATGTGGATACATTTTTCTGAATTATTCCTTGCTGCTGAAACTCTCAGTACTCAATATTTGGAATTCGGCAATTATTCAGGCAGGTATCAGTATACCTGTACAGAGTTCTTTAATATCTGAACTCTTAACTATCTCATCTTCTTATCCAAACTGATGATCCAAGTAGACTTGAGAGACTCGTCAAGGTGATTCATGCCTGTAGTTCCAGTGCTTTGGGAGGCCAGGGTGGGAGGATCACTTGAGGCCAGGAGTTTGAGATGAGCCTAGGCAACATAGCGAGACCCTGTCTCTACAAAAAATAAAAAGTTAGCTGTGCATGATGGCACATGCCTATAGTCCCAGCTCTTCAAGAGGCTGAGGCAGGAGGATCTCTTGAGCCCAGGTGTTTGAGACTGCAGTGAGCTATGATGCACCACTACACTCCAGCCTACGTTACAGAGTGAGACCCTGACTCTTAAAACTAAAACACACAAATCGACTTGATAGTATTTGTTGTTTTATTGTTGTTTCTCAGGTCAAGAACTTGAAGGCCTATATCCAATGTGGTCACAATGGGCTGTATTTGTAGGGTTACAGTTGTGGAAGGGAAGGATGGCAGGGCTCAGAACAGTGGTGAGGTCGTGACACTTTTGAGATCCCCACAGTGTCTCCCAGGTCTATTCGGAGGCCAGCTGGGGTTACAGAGGATGAGGGAGAGGTTGAGTGCCCGGTGTAGGCCCTGATGTGGTGAGGAGGCCCTGAGTGGTGCCTGCCGTCAGGCATGTTGGCCTCCGCTCTAAGCCTGTGTCCACTGCTTTCTGCTCTCTGGTTCTTTCCATGCAGTTTTCCAGTAGGGCTGAGCTGTACGGGAGAGGAGTTTGTCTATAGACTGCAGGTGTCCATTTGGGAAGACAAATACCCAGGGGCACATGGTAACACCTGGTGTTCAGAGTGGAGACTCAGATGAAAGAGTGTTCTAATTTGAGTAGGATAACAATATTGCTATGGAAGACACTTCTGTGACACTAACTGTAGCAGGCACTTTTCAGTACACCATACACATTAACACATGTGGTCCTCACAGCTACCACACAAGCAAGGTACTCTTAGGCTGTTTTACAGGTGAGAAGCCTGAGATGCGTGGAGGAGGAGGAGGCTCAGGGACTTGCCCAAGGCAGGCTACACATGTCGTAGGTGGTGGAGCTGGTATCCAGTCCAGGTGCCTTTACTCTTAGGATAGACACATGGGGACTGCAAAATGGCACCGTGACCCTTGAGGCTGGCTCACAGCTAGCGCTAGCCATGTTCTTTCTTGAGCCGAGCAGCCATGGTTGACTCATGGCAGTAGTTCCATGTTCTTACCAGTGAAAAGCCACCAGGTTAGTGCCCAGCACTTCCTCACCCAGAGCTCAGGCCCAACTCTGGCCTACCAGAAACTGACACTGTCGTGTCCTCAGGTCCCCTATCTGAGCTCCACTACCCCATCGACAGCCTGAGCAAGAAGCCCAAGGGCTTTGCTTTCGTCACCTTCATGTTCCCGGAGCACGCAGTGAAGGCCTTCACCGAGGTGGATGGGCAGGTGTTTCAGGTGAGCTCACTTGCGGGCTGGCTGGGAGGCTGCTGGGCTCACGCTGTTGGGAAGGGCCTTTTGTGTGTGTGTGTGTGTGTGTGTGTGTGTGTGTGTGTACGTGTGTGTGTACACAGGCGTCTACATTTCGGGCCTAAGAATACACACAGCACCGTGCCAAGTCGCCCCCTCACCTGCACTACTGGAGGGTAAGAAGTTGCCTGAGGACAGGGCTCTGGTCTGTTCTGGTCACTGATATGTGGCACCTGGGACAATGCCTGGCATGTAGTAGGCACTCAGGGGAAAAAAAAAACTTATTCTGTCACCCAAGCTGGAGTGCAGTGGCATGATCACAGCTACTGCGGTATTGACCTGCTGGGCTCAGGTGGTCCTTCCACCTCAGCCTTCCAAGTAGCTGGAAGTACAGGTGTTTGCCACCAAGCCCTGCTATTACTATTATTTTTGTGTGTGTGTGTGTGTAGATGAGGTCTCACTGTGTTACCCAGACTGGTCTTGAATCCCTGGGCTCAGGCAATCCTCTTGCCTCGGCCTCCTGAAGTGCTGGGATTATAGGCATAAGCTATGTGGCGAGGAGGCCCTGAGTGGTGCCTGCCATCAGGCATGTTGGCCTCCGCTCTAAGCTTGTGTCCACTGCTTTCTGCTCTCTGGTTCTTTCCATGCAGTTTTCCAGTAGGGCTGAGCTGTTCTTGAGTGAATAAACTGGCTCTCCATCTCCAGAGATGCCCCCTTGAAAGAGGAATAAGCAGGAAAGGAATTTTGACAGGGCTTGTTAAAATGGCCCCAGTAGCATGTAAGCGACTCTCCTCTTTTTCCCAGGATCACAAAGTGATGTGCTAGCAAACATCCTCGTACCCTGGCTGCCTCAGCTCCTTTTTCCTTTTTCTCATTCATTCCTTCATGATTTATTGACCTTCCCCACCCCACCATGGTGGCCAAGCCAGACCCTGCTCCTGCCCACCTGGAGCTCATATCTCACCTGGGGATGGGATGGGAGGTTTGAGAGACTGTGGGGGATGCTGCAGGGCTGCGTGGAAATGGATGGAAGTTTCGTTTGTGCAGCTGTTTCAAGTGGCCCATCCTGGTGTCAGGTCCCTATGCCCAGTGGTAAGAATGGCCTTGTCATTCTGTGTGACCCCCCCTGCCCTCTAGTCAGTGTTTCAGCGCTGGGTCCAGCTTTCTCGTGGCTAAAGTTGACATCCTACATGGGATATGGAAGCCGGCTTAAGGGCGAGCTTTTATCCACTCCTGCCTCTTCCCCTCTAGGGCAGGATGCTCCACGTGTTGCCATCCACCATCAAGAAGGAAGCCAGCGAGGATGCCATGGCCCCGGGGTTGTCAGCCTACAAGAAGAAGAAGGAAGCAAAGGAAAAGGCTAGCAGCTCCAGGTCCTTGTTGCCCTGATGTCTTTGAGCCCCCCAGCTTCCGCTGCCTTCGCCCCTGCCGTTCTGAGCTGCCTGGTTTCTCTGCCTCCTTCCCCTGGGGTTAGCCCGTAACTTCTCTGAACCTCGGTTCTCTCATCTGTGAAATTGGGGAGAATAACAGCAGTGCCTTACTTTTGTGGTGTTGTGACATTTAAATGAGTTCATCTATGCAAAGTGCTTAGTTCCTGCCACAGAGGACGCACTTGACAAACATCAGGGGTTGCAGCCATATCATCCCTCGCCTTTGGGTCCTGTGTGCCTAGCTTACAGCAAGTGGGTTGGAGTACTTAGAAAGGCAGGCCCGTGAGCCCCCTTCGTACAGGTTTTGCATCTGCAAGCATCCCCCTCGCCCCGCCACTCTCTGATCTCCCTATTCTGCCTCTGCCTCTCAGCTCTCATAACTGGAATACGCTGTTCATGGGGCCGAATGCTGTAGCCGATGCCATTGCGCAGAAGTACAACGCCACCAAGAGTCAAGTGTTTGACCACGTGAGTGAGGACCCAGCAAGCCCCCTGCCCCCACTCTGGGCCAAACTGCAGGGAGAAAGAGCGGGGGCTGTGTTGTGTTGCTGCCCGTGATGCCACTCGCCTGAACTGGAAATGCTTATCCTCTTGGACCTTCCCAGAGGCCTCTGGAATGGGGGCAGACTCCCCTAAGCTGTCCCTCTGGAAACATGCCCATCCAGACTTCAGCCCTGGCTTCTCTTGCAGCATGTGGAGCCATCCCAGGAATGTAGCAGACAGTGATGGTGACAGGCGGTGCTCCATGCTGCTATGCTACATGAAAGAGTGTGGGGTCCACCTCACAGCAGCCCTGTGAAGTAGGGGCTCTCATATGCCCATTGTTTAGATGAGGAAACCGAGGGCACAAAGTAACTTGCCCAGGATCCCAGACCTGCAAAGAGGTGGAGGGAGACCAGGCCCACCTGACTCCAGTACCCTCACTGAGCCACGTCACACGTCTGCACAAGTGTGTCCTGCCCCTTTCCTTGGCTTGGGCAGCCCAGGACTCTGAAGCCAGGGAGGGGGGTCATTGGGCTCTGTCCTCCTCCTCTCCCATTCCATGTCTAGTGGACAGTCTAGCCTTATTTCTTCTGACTTTTTCCCCATCGATCTAGTGCCTCCACATCACATGCCTTTTTTTAAAAAAAATTTTTTATGTATTTAAGGTGTACAACATGATGTTTTGATATACGTATAGATGGTGAAATGGTTGAATTCTACTGTAACTCAGCAAATTGACATCATGTTAGTTACTCTCTTTTGTATTGTGAGAGCACCTGAAGTATACTGTTTTAGGAAGGCTCTCAATTACAAACTGTATTATTAATTCTAGGCTTCGTATTGTGCAGTAGAACTCTAGACTGCAGTCAGCATAAGTGGTTGCCACTTTGTATCCCTTCTGTATGTCCTTTTTATGGTCTATAAAAGAATACTTTTTAAAACATACTTTGTATTATTTAAAAGTATGCCTTGTATAAAGAAAGTACAAAGTATACTTTGTATAAGGTACAGAAGTACTTTGTTCTTTATAGCTTCACATCCACATGCCTTTTAAAAAGCCTGTGTCTTGAGTCAGGCGCAGCTGAGTTTATCTGAGGCAGAGCCAGGAGTTGTCTCTCAGCTAATCAACAAACGGCGCTCATGGATTTGGCCTGCAGAGCGCCTCGGTCAATCCTGTCCACTAGACATGGAATGTGAGCCACATGTGTTACTAGAAATAGCCTAGGTGCCACATTTTAGCAAGTAAAAGAAACAGGTGAAATTAATAGTATTTTTTTAAATCAGTATTTTTTATTATGATATTGTGGGGTACAGTTAAGGGTTAGGTATACAGATATGCTTCGTTCAGGCCCCCTTGTTGATAACAGGTGTCTCCCCATCCCCAGACAGATGTTTACTACCATTAGTCCCATCTCCCTTTCCCTCCCCCCCATAGTTTCCCACCAATGTCAGTCGTTTTCTTATGGTAGTACGCTGGATGATCAAGGTCCACTACATGAGTGAGAACATGTGATACTCAGATAGTTGTTTTTGTGAGAGGTCACTCACAGTATCTGCAAGATATCATTTCAACACATGCACAATATTTTAAAAATCAGGAACTGTTTTACAGTCTATTTTGCTCGCTCAGTCTGTTGTGTATTTTACACCAAGAGCACTTTGGACATGCCCTGTGTCTGGTGCTCAGTGGCTCTGCGAGGCTCATGGCATGATGTTGGCAGCACAGCTCTAGATGTAAGCCAGCTTGGGGAGTGCTGCACCTGTCTAGATCCTATAAGTACTCTGAGCACTGGGCACTAGTGAAGGGAGACACACATTCACAGAGGTGCCATATGGCGGGCATAGCAGCTTCAGAGAGCAGAGGGGCCAAGTGGGGGTCAAGGGTGTAACCACAAGGGTGGGCTGGTCAGCAAAGTGATATTTAAGCAGGAATGGAATGGAGCAAGAGAATGCGGGGTAAAAGGTGTCTGACTGAAGCCAGTGAGTGCAGCAGCTCTGGGGCGGGAGTGAGCTCAGCCTGTGGGGGGTGGGGATGGGACGGGGGTCCTGGGGTCCCAGGTCTAGTGTGAGAGGCATGGGAGGTGGGGCATAGACTGTGTCCATCTCCATCCTGGCTTCCCAGGCTGTTGGGAGGTGGAGATGTGTCACCTACCTGACAGCTGACAGGGCCTCTTCTTTCCTCTCTCTCACAGGAGACCAAGGGCAGCGTGGCCGTGCGCGTGGCCCTGGGGGAGACCCAGCTCGTCCAGGAAGTACGGCGCTTCCTTATTGACAATGGCGTCAGCCTGGATTCTTTCAGCCAGGTGTGTTTTCTGTGCCCTGCTCAGTGAGCCTCAACTGCTCTGGCCGCTGGAAAGCTGGGAATAGTGTTTCCAGGGGAGCCATGGGTGGGCTTGAGGATCGGCCTTCTGAAGGCTATTGCCCATTCCTAAGTTGTCTCTCACGAAAGGAAGAAGTGTCACATGGACTCAGACAGATGGCCCACTCAACCCTGATTATGCGCCCTCAGGAACTGTGTGCAAGAGGGCTGCCTTGAAATCTGTGGTTTCCCCATGTAGATCTGAGGGGTTCCCAGAATCCCACACCCCCACCCAATATCTTCCCAGAGCCCCTGTTGGACCCTTCTTAAACCCTGCAGGGTAAGGTTCACCTCCACAAGCTTATTGGCCACCATGTAGCAAGTCTTAGGTTACAATTTAGAGGACCCTAAGAGACCATGTGACATCCACCCCTTCATTTCATAATCTTGGAAACAGGCTTGGAGAGTGGGGAGGTGACTTACAAAGCCCGGGACAAAAATTCAGGGCTTCTGACCCCCAAAACAGCTCTTTTGACAGCCTTACCAGGCCTTAAATGTTTACTTCAAATGGATGAATAGGATAAGTGGATGGACAGATGGGTGGTTGGGTGATGGATGGACGATGGATGGACGGATGGCTGGATGGAGGAGTGATGGATGGATATGGATGGATGGAGGGATGGGTGGATGGTTGGATGGGCAGATGGATGATGGATGAATATGGATGGGCAGACAGATGAGGATTGATGGGTAGATAGATGGAAGGATACACAGAAGGAAGGCAAATGGATTGGATAGGTAAATACACCAATAGCTAACATTAAGACTTGTCCAAGCACTCTTCTAAGTTTACGTATTTTATTAGCCCACTTCATACACACAATAACCCTGTGACACAGCACTGCTGCACTCCCATTGCAAAGGGGACCACAGCCACTGAGAGCTGACATCACTTGCTCTGGGTCGCATAGCTAGTAAAAGTGCACGGAATATGAGCACTCTGTAAATGTTACCAATTATTTTACTAAAATCAAATGCTGAAGGGATGTTAAAAAGCCAATAAAATCTAAATGGTGAAGCTGGATTTGAACACAGGCCTCCTGGCCCCAGAATCTCTGCCCCAGTTGTACTCTGCAGCCTGAGAGGCACCTGTGAAGGCCACTGGTGCCTGGGCCTTCCCATCTGCTGGTGGCTCCCTCTCCCCTCACCTCACACAGTCCTCACAGTAACCCTGTGACACCTCTACAGGATGGATGTTACTGTTAGCCAGTTTTGCAGATGAGAAAACTGAGGCCTACAGAGGGAAAGCAACTGACCCAGGGTTTCAGGCTGGATTTGTGGGTGAGCTAAAATGCCAAGATACGTCACATACCTGGACTTTTCCATTAGATTTTATTGGCTTTTTCATATCCCTTCAGCATTCATTTTTAATAAAATAATTGCTACCATTTGCAGAGTGCTCATGTTATATGTACTTTTACTAACCCATTTAATTAAATTTTTTCCTGAGTGAGTAAGTAGATGCTGTGTCCTTTCTCCAGCCTAGACAGAGCCACGCACATTTCTCAGGGCTGCGTATCCAAGGTCTTAGTTTGGGTTCTCCCAAAAGCAGACCCTGACACAAGGATTCCAGGGCAAGTTGTTTTCTGGGCAGTGGGGGAAACCTTGGTGAGAAAGGGATGGGGAGGGAAAGAGACGAGTCCAGGGTGTGTCACGGCCACACACTGCCCAGGTGCTGGAGCTCTGTTCAGGGGATACCTGCAACCTTGGACTCTCGCACTCAAAGGGCAGGGTACACCAACTCCTGAGAGTCAGGGGCTGCTTCCAGGGTCCTTGACTCCTGGGCGCTTCCTGCTGGCTGCATGTGGGTTCCAGGAAAAAGATCTCACACCAAGGTACAGACCTGGCTGTGGGAAGCCCCCGAGGGCGTGGCAGGGGCTGTGGTCAGCCACATCAAAATCTGCCCCAGCTCAGAAGTAGAGGGGCCGGGTTTGGCCCAGGATCTAGCTTCAGAGTCCCAGGCCTCAGGGCAAGCATGAGCCTGAGAGGTGGATCTTCCTGGGTCTGCTTCCTGTGCCTGGATGGAGTGCCTGGTCTGGACGCCACCACGGATCAGTGCTGGTGTTGCCCAGGGACCTTCCTTTCTGTTGTCCCATGTGTATTCGTTTCCTCCCTACAGGCTGCGGCAGAGCGCAGCAAGACCGTGATCCTGGCCAAAAACCTTCCAGCAGGCACCTTGGCGGCAGAGCTCCAGGAGACCTTTGGCCGCTTTGGCAGCCTAGGCCGAGTGCTACTGCCAGAGGGTGGTGTCACCGCCATCGTGGAGTTCCTGGAGCCCCTGGAGGCCCGCAAGGCCTTCCGACAGCTGGCCTACTCCAAGGTAGGGCTGCACAAGGCAGGTCGAGCTGGAGAGGGACTGCGAGCCGCTCCGGGAGAGATGGTACGGCAGGCCAACACAGGGATAGCCTCTGTGCAGACCCAGCCCGCAGGAGCTCAGCCTCCACACCCCATCCAGGTCACGTGTTCCCAACCTGAGGACGCATCTGGATGGGGTGGATGGGAGTGGAGCTCTGGGCCATCCCTCACAACACAGGCCTCGGCTCGTTCGTTGCCTGACTGGCTCCTTGGCTGACTTTTCCCACATGAATGGTACTCTTGCTGCCTTATACTTGCTGCCTTATACCTGCTGTAAGGTGAACAGAAATTGGTTCTGTAGGTGAGAACCAATTTCCCCTGGTTCTCGGTTAAAAACAGACAGGAGTGTGTTACTTTCCTGTGGCTGCCAAAGCAAACCCACAGCAGGGTGGCTTGAAGCAGCACACATGAATTCTCTCCCAGTTGTGGAGAGTCTCCCAGACTCTCCGAGTCTGAAGGCAAGGTGTCAGCAGGGGCGAGCTCCCTCCCAAGGCTCCTGGGGAGAACCTGCCCTTTGCCCCTTCTGGCTCCTGGAGGCTCCAGGCATCCTGGCTCATGGCTGCTTCCCTCCAGTCTCTGCTCCATCCTCTCCTTCTCTGCCTCAATCTTCCTTGCAAGTTTCTCTTATAAGGACACTTGTCATTGGACATGGGGCCCGTTTGAATTACTCTGCATGTTCTCAAAAGCTTTCTCTAAATTGCATCTGCAAAGACCCTTTTTTTCCAAAGAGGGTTACATTCGGGTTCTGAGGGCACAAGACAATGGCGTATGTTGGGGATGGGGGTGCTCATGAGAAGTAGTTTCCATTTATCAGGCACTTCAGCCCTTTGCAGACCTCGGCCTCCCCAGCATTCCTTTAGAGGTAGGTATTGTGTCTGTATTTTGCAGATGGGGAAGTCGTTTCTCATCCTCTACTGCTCCCACCCTGTGACGGCCCCAGCTCGGGCTCTGTGCCCGCTGAGTTCTCAGGAAGTTGTTCAGGCCCAACCCATGAGAGCAGTTGTCCAGGAAGGGCTGATGACTGTGCTGGGGACACTCCTTGGAGTGTGACGCCCTCCTTTCTTTTCCTTTGAGAGAAACGTGCCCGTCACCAAAAGGCTCTCTATAGGCAACAGTTCAAGGGCACTGACGAGAGGCCTCCTGCTTGTTTTTGACTATTTCACCAACAAGAATGTCTCTGTCTTCGTTTTGCACACATGGAAACTGAGACCTGCAGAGGACACTGACCCAAGTGACACCACCAAAAGGTGGTACAGCCAACTGTTGGAACTCTAGTCTATTTCACCTAAAGTATATGTTTTTTCCCTTCAATGTAATTGATTTGTAAGGCTTGCATATAATATGAAATTTGAAAAGATTCAAAAAGAGCTTTTGTTGACAAGACTCCTTCCCACTCCTGTCTTGCATCTACCTAGTTGTCTTCTATTGAGGCAGCTATTGTTAGTATCTTGTTTATCCTTTTTTTTTTAATAGGGTCAAGGTCTTGCTCTGTTGCCCAGGCTAGAGTACAGTGGCCCAATCATAGCTCGCTTCAGCCTCAACCTCCTGGGCTCAGGTGATCCTCCTGCCTCAGCCTCCCAAGTAGCCAGGACTACAGGTGCACCCCCACACCTGACTGTCCTTTTTTGAAAACTGTCTACATGCACACACAATATCATGCACTGCCTGTGAATAGACGCACATGGAAAGAAAGCATGTTCCTTAATGGCTGAGCTACACTTCTTCCTGGGGAGCTGTACTTTACCAAGGACCCTGTTTTACTCATCCCACTCCCCTCTTATACTCTGTTTAGAGAAAACCCAAAGGAGTCTTGGAGCCATCATGTGTCTGTCCAGCAGCAACAGAGACAGTCCTCTCTCCAGCTACCCCTGGGATGCAGCATGGCGGCTCAAGTGTTGTTCGTGGGGAGTAGGGAACGTGTAGGGTTCCAGGCTGTGCTCTTCCTTCCTCCATTCCTGGCTGAGTAACCCCTCCTCTCTGATCCTCGGGCTCTTCCAGTGTGAATGGGGCCGAGTCCCCAGCTGTGTGTGGTCGAAAGACTCAAAACACCGTCACCCTGTCTCTGCAGTTCCACCACGTGCCCCTGTATCTGGAGTGGGCTCCAGTTGGTGTCTTCTCCAGCACAGCTGCACCGAAGGCAGAGCCCCAAGACACACCTGCAGAGCCTGCGGGAAAGGACAACGTGGCGTCAGAAACTGGTAAGAGCTGAGTTGGGGATCAGGATGCCCTGGGTGGCCGGAGAGGCCAGTGGGAATTTGTTCATCCGGCCTCTGCTTTCAAGTTGTGTGCTCATCCTGGAGACCAGTGGGTCTCAGACTTGCAAATTTTGTAGGTGTGTCCTTAAAAAAATAGTGTCAAAATTATGGGTTCAACATACGGTTGCCAACTTTTGGTTTGTCCATTATAGGTTGTAGGGGAGCAAAGCAAGTGAACACAACCTTTGTGTTCACAGATGTCCCACATTGCTTCCTGGGGAGGAGGGCGGCTGCCAGGGACATGGTTATTCCTTAGGTTGGCACCATGCCCTCTGGTGTCCAGCGTCCACAAAGGCAGGAAAGGAAAGGGAAGCTGTGGCCACTGAGAGCCAAACAGGGCAGCCCCCAACCTGGGCTAATGCTTCACAGTTGGGGTGGCATCATCATTCCCATCTAAGGAGGACAGTACTTTCACATCAGGACTGTTCTGCAAATCCCAAGAGGGTTCATCTCCCTGGACCCCACCTGCTGAATGTCAGGAGTGCTCACCCCCTGTGGACACTCCATGCATTCCCAGACGTCCCGCCGTTGAGAACCACTTAGTCTGGGGACTGTGACCACATCTTAGAACACGAGACCTTGAGAGTTGTTTTGAAAAGGCCCATAGGGGTCATTTTACCCAGACATCAAGATTGTACCCATCAGTAATTCCCCCACCGCGCAATATGGTTGCCAGTTTTTAGTTTATTAAAATTAAGGTGTGAAAAAAAGAACTTTTTACGGAGAAAAAAGTAGAGCGTGAGTGGGGGAGCACCATTGTCAGGTTCCTGGCATAAGTTCTCCTGGAAATTGGGTGGCCGTTGCTGCACGTGAGCCTCCCACCTTGTCTGCCTTCCTCATTTCATTGTTTCATCATGGATGGATCTTTATTCAGGGCTATTTGGGAACTGCTGGTCTAGAGGCTTGTTCTGGTCAGGAAGTAACATCTTTCAATTCCTTTGCTCTCTGAGGACCCAGAAGCCTCAGCAGTTGTTGGGGTTCATGATTGTCATGCAGATGAGTGAGCTTTGTTCACAGACTGGGTTGAAATTTCTTCCAAGCCTGCGAGTGTGAGTGCACCCACAAAAACAGCTCTCTCCAGCCGGGCTCGATGGCTCAGCCTGTAATCCCGCGCCTTTGGGAGGCTGAGGTGAGTGGATTGCCTGAACCCGCGGGTTCGAGACCCGCCTGGGCAGCGAGACCTCATCTCTACAATAAATCAAAAAATCGGGGCGTGGTAGCGCATGCCTGTAATTCCGGCTACTCAGAAGGCTGAGGCGGAAGGATCGCCGGAGCCCAGCAGGTCGAGGCTGCAGTGGCCGGGAGCGGCCACTGCCCTCCAGTCTGGGCGACTGAGTGAGACTCCAACTCAAAAAAAATAACAAAACAGCTCTCTCCAGGTAGTCCTGTTCTTAACTAGCCATTCCCCTAGGCATCAGCTGCCTTAGTGTTCCCTGCAGTTACTGCACCTGAACTTGAGCCCTATTTTTCGACCCAAAGTGGGTCCCCAAACTTTGGCCAGGATGGAGGGATCCTGAGGACAGGCCCAGAGGGGGCCTCTTCCTGCTCACTTGGGACAGCGGGCAGGAGTCATGCTGGGAGCATGGGTCCCTCCCCTGCCCTAGGGGACCACCTTCTTGTGGCTGCACCCACTACCCCAGGGCCTGGGGATTCGCTCGCCATGGTCATACTTTGTTTTTATTCTATTCATTTGTTTTACTTGTTTCCTGTCTACCTCAGCAAGACTTACAGCCATGAAGGCAGGGAGTGGGGCCATCTCCTTCACTACTGGGTACCTGGCACCCCAGGTGAAGGGAAGCTCAGTCAACAGGTGTCGAGGGAGTGGACAGGTACATGAGGATCTGCCTCTTTGTCCCTGTTTAGGACGGGGCACATAGTAAGAGCTTTGTGTCTTTGTGTCTCAAACACATAGTAGGAGCTCAGGCTTGGAGGCTTGTCTCTGGTTGCTAGTCCAGCCCTGAGCATGTATGGCAATACTGACACAGTCAATCACAGCAGTAGTGGCGGCTCCCATTGGGTGCCCCATATGGCCACAAATGGCCCCTTATTTCAAATACTTATCACAGATGAGCTCCCTGAGTGGAGGACGTATGAGCCAAGACCTGGCAAGAGGGAGCCTGGCCTGGCAGGCAGCTGATCAGGAGAACGGGCAGAGGGCACAGCAGGTGCAAAGGCCCTGTGGTGAGGATGGGTTTGGCAGGCATGCCAGTAATCCCAGCACTTTGTGAGGCTAAGGCACTTTGCTTGAGCCCAGGAGTTTGAGAGCAGCCTAGGCAACTTAACGAGAACTCATCTCTACAAAAAAAAATTTTTTAAATCAACTGGCCATGGTGGCATGTACCTGTAGTTCCAGCAACTTAGGAGACTGAGGCACAAAGTTTGCCTGAGCCCAGCAGATCAAGGCTATATGAGCCATGATTGTGCCACAGCACTCCAGCCTTGGCAACAGAGTGAGACTCCGATTTAAAAAAAAAACTATCACTTCTTGGAATTGCGTCAGGAATGTGTGATTTTCTTTGGTGTCGGTCTGTCTGACTGTGGAGTGTGGTAGCTCATCTGCTTGCTGGCCAGACGTCCCAGCCCCCTGGGAAAGTGCCTGGCATTGGGGAGTGATCAGGAAGGGCCAAAGTAGGGGTTACTCTGTGCCAGCTGTGGTGCTGAGCCCTCTGCAGCCTCATCACATGAGGCTCGGAGCTCCTGGGGAAGTCGTCACCGTGGGATTTCCAGCAAGCAACTGTCCTGGTCCTCGCCTCACTCTGTGACTGGGCAAGCTGCCTCCCTTCTCCAAGGCTCAGTTTCCATGTCTGTAAAATAGGGTTGATAGCCACACATCCCTTATGAGGCATGCTGGAGGATGCGGTGGGATGTGGCCGCCGCATTACCATTCTCTGATGCTGTTGCTCACGTGCTGCGTAGGTTGGAGCAAAGGGTCTTTAACTCATATACGAGCACCAGCTCTGTGCCAGCTGTGGGGGAGACCGAGATGGACACAGCCTGGGCCCTGTTCCCCAGAAGCTCCCCGGCCAGGGGACAGGTGGAGCTGTTGGGGGACAACTGAGATGGCACAAGGAGTAATAGCAGCAGTCTCTCACCCAGAAAAATCTGCAACACGACCAAGGAGGCCTCCCAGAGACCATGTGCAGTGACCTGAGGGTAGAGTGCACCTCACCCCCAGCCCTGCATCCCTGGCGCCCAGGCCTGCATTTCAGTGTTGAGAGGGCCCCTGATGGGCCTGAACTCTCAGAGGGTCTGGTGTCCAGGGCCCGACCCTGACTCCCCCAGAGGAGGCCGTAGGCCCAGCTGCCTTTGGCCAGGAGGTTGTGCATATCCACCGATTCTGAGCCCCGCTGAGTCCCATGTCATTGGTTAATTCCCACCGAGAGGGTCTCAAGGGCCCTCTCCTCCCTTTCTAGCACAGCCCTCGTGCATACCCCTGCCCCGTCCAACGCAGTTCCTTTTCACCTGCTCCTCCTCCACCCCGCCTTCTCCACATTGTTCCCGAAGCTTCACCAGATCCCTGACTTCCCGGGGCTCGAGGACAAGGGCTGGGGGGGCTTCAGCCAGTCCCCGGAGCCCCCAAGGAAGAAGAGCAGGAGGGGAGTGGACGCGGCTTTTCTCTTCACCCCCTTCCTTTCTGCAAAGCTCCCCTGTTCTCGTACCAGTCTCTAGGGAGGGGGACAGAGTGTTTTATCTCCCCACTACCAAGACCCTCACCTCCAGATAAAGGGCTCAGAGTGGGGGGAGGTCCTGAAAGCTGCTCGCAACTGATAACAGTCTTTGCTGTCAGCTCGGGCGCTGAGAGCCTGGGAAGAGGAGGGGCGCGGGAAATTCTGCGGCCTGATTATAATAAAGCCCCATGTGGCGACGCGTGACTGGATTTGATTGTGCTAACTACAGATGGAAGCACATTTTCCCCTGCTGGTCCCAGCCCCCTCCAGCCCACCTTGCTTTTAAATTCCCCCCAACACACACACACACACACACACACACACACATACATTTTCCCTTGCTGGTCCCAGCCCCCTCCAGCCCACCTTGCTTTTAAATTCCCCCCAACACACACACACACACACACACACACACACACACACACACACACACACACCCCCCATCCCCGGTCCAGCCCCGCTTCCTTTCTCACGTCTTTCCTCTTCTGGTTCCTGGTGATTCTGCCGGCCAACATCTGCTTGAGTTTCACAAGGCCTTATTTTTTTCTCTTTCATCTTTCTTTTGTCTCCCCACTTGGGGCCGGGAGCAGAAGTGCTTGTAAAAATGACCTTTGGAGGCAGCACTGCCTTGGCTGTTGGCCACTTCCACGCCTCTCTGGACACGGGTGTGGGCCACAGCATGGCCCGGCCTGGTGACTTGGGAGCAGAAGCTGGCGGCAGGGATGTGGTGCCCTGCACTGGGAGGTGTGGCACGGCCCAGCCTCCTGCCCAGGCAGGCTCCTGTGCGTTCGTTCTCCTCCTCATCCTGCGAGTGGGAGCTGTGATTGCCGCCCCCCTTTTAGATGGGAAGAGGGAAGCCCAGAGTGGCTGTGTGACTTGCGCAAGGTCACGTGTGTGGAGGAGCCAGGAAGTGGTCCAGGCCACCAGCTCCAAGCTCTGTGCTCTGACTTAAAATGCCACCACGTTCGACCACACTAAGAGCTGTCTGCTGAGCACTGTATGCCGGGCACGCACCGCTACCCAGCATTCTCATCATCCACAAGTACTGCTAGGGCGTCTGCTCCAAGCCAGTGCTGCCAACACGGCGCTGAGTCCGATGGGCCTGACCTCGATAAGCCTCCCATCAAGTTGGGAGCACAAAGAGAGAAGCATACTGACCAGCAGACTGGCACTGGAGCCAGAAAAGGGCTCTAGAGAGAGGAAACCCCGGGAGTGTGAGGTTTAGGGACTGGACCTGTGGTGGAGACCCACCTGGGCGAGAATGGACAGACGAGCTCCCTGAGTGGAGGACGTGTGAGTCAAAACTTGGCAAGAGGGAGCCTGGTCTGGCAAGCAGCTGATCAGAAGAACGGGCAGAGGGCACAGCAGGTGCAAAGGCCCTATGGTAAGGATGGGTTTGGCAGGCTTGGCGATCAGAAAAGAGGCCAGTGTGATTGGAATGGGCAGAGGGTGGGGAGAAGAGGGAAGGTCCAGGGGTGAGGTTAGAGAAGCTGGCAAGCTAGGGACAGGTGCTGAGGGTGGACACGTGAGAAGGCTGCTTTGTTGCCCAGGAGAGAGGTAGCCATTCCTTGCACAGGCTTGTGGGTAAAGCAGTGGACTCTACATTTCAAAACACCCCAGCAAAGCACTGTGTGTGTGCGCACGTGTGCGCGCACATGCATGATTTTACTAAATGCCATCTTACAGAGGGAAACTGAGACCATGGTGAGGTCACTCACTCACGGCACGCAGCTAAGGAGTGGCAGAGTCGACTGAGCAGGCCACTTTCCTCTCTAGAGGCTGCCACCTCCTGCTGCAATCTGTAGGCCCCCCTCTGTGTCCTGTCCGAGGTTCCCTTTCTCAGCTGGTCTCCACAGACCATGATGCCCTTGAGTTCTCTCTAAGATCCAGGAACCTGTTTTAGGTGCAGGGATATGGTTGCTACGGACACAAAGGTTCAGGGAGAGAACGGACATCTAGAATCATCCAGGGTCTATGCTGTCAGAGGAAGGCCAAGCCTCGTTTGAACATGTCTTTAATTTCAGGCTGGACGCTCCTTCCAATGTTGCGGGTATCGGGTACTGACTGACTTACGGGAAGTTGGAGAAGCCAAATGAGCCCCTGCCGGGCCAGCTGCACACCCCAGATGCTAGGTCCCTGCTGCCCTCAAAGTCCCCTCCCGTCCTTCCCGAGCTGGGGTTGAAGGTGGCTGACCCACCAGGGAAGGGGTATCCACCCTTACCTTAAGCTCAGCTCAGCTCTGTTACCGAACCCAAATGTCACACACCCTTTGGAGCATGCCAGCCACGACTCACAGGCCAGGGAGGTAGGGTGGCATTGACTCCAGCTATGCTGAGGGCTTCTGGGCGCCCCAGGTCATCCATGTGAGGCTTTGGGCTCCTGGACTGCCACACTGGGTACTGATCAGACTCCAGGGCCTTGGGAAGGAAAGAGGGAGGCTCATCACTTTTGCCAGTGTTCTGTAGGCAGGCCAGATACAGGGAGCAGGACAGAGGCCCCCATGAGCTGGTTTACTTGTGACCGTCACCTGGTACAAAAGCTACTGCCATTGAGTTGAGTTGCCAAAATGAAAAACCCATGGGGGTTTCCTCTGGAAAGCCAGATTTTGAGCAACTAATGGATCTGAATCCTTGCCATACTGGGTTGACCTCCCTATGTGCAGCAATTGGCCAGGGCCAAAAAGAGGCTGTCTCCTTAAACTGGCTGTGCGCCCTCCTGGCCACTGTCACCTCCCCCCACCCGGATTCTTTTCTATAAACATTTTTTTCAGTCTCCCATGAGCCTCTTTTGCCATCTGAAAGTGCCCAAGATTTACGGTTCAGATGCAGACACTTCCAGAATTCTCCTCAGGCCACACGTTTCCCTTTCCGTGCGTGAGGTGGCTGCTGAGTTCCTGAACTAGATAGTGTCCTTGAGGCATTCAGCCAAGTGCCTGGGGCATAGTGGGGATCTCATCAGTGTTCTCTCCTTTCTCCTTGACCCTCTGAGATAGCCAGCATGGGGGAAGGCCAGCGGGTGGGAATAGCCTTCTTGGCTGGAGAGCGAGGTTTGATTGAAGTTCCCATTCAGGACCCGCGTCGCTCCTTTGCATAATTCTGCTTCCCATCGTCAGTAGTATTTTTCCTTCATGCTTTGTTTGCAAATTGGGTGTTGAGTACAAACAGCCACACTACAGGAGTGAATTGTATTAGAGTCTTGGTTGGGGGAGGGGCCTTTGTGGAGATTTCTTTTTGTCCTGGGGCGGGAATCTGAGTTCTGGACTTACCTTGGAGGGAGGTCAAGGCAAGAAGGTGGCTAAAGAGATGCCATGATCACAGTAGCTGTTTCCTTTAGGGCTTGAAAGGGTTGTTTTGGGACAAAGTGGTTGAAGCTTAATGAGGACTTGAAAGCCTTAGGCTTGCATCACAATGGACAGAGGAGATAGAAGTCTTTGGAAGCATCTTTGGTGTTTGGCATGAGAGTTTGGGGAAGGATCTGAAGCCCAGGAGGCCCGGAAGTTTGAATTGTTTGAGTGAAGGTGTGTAGAGGAAAAACAGGTGGTTATCAGCTCCTGACTGCCCAGCCGTGGGACCTCCCTGAGCATCTGCGGGCCAGGGGTGCAGGTTTTAAGTCTTCTGGGAGGATGGCGCCCCCCTGCTCAGAAACAAGGGTGCGGGGTGTGAGGGTGCAGTCTGACTGCTTGGAAGAATCGCTAAGACAAGACTTGACTTCCCAAGGGATGTGAGATCGCTTCAGAAACCTTGTCTGTGGTGGGGGGATTTGTTCCCAGCCCCCGGTCAGGTGACTTGGTGAAATTTGGGCGTTGGAACCAAATTGAACACATTTCCTTACAGCAGGTTTTCACAAAGATCGTGATGCTGCCCCATACTAACCTTCTGAGGCTGCGTAACTTCCGCGTGAAATCCACACTCAGGGCCACTGCCAACCGGCTCTGCCCAGTGCCCTCCTTGCATTCCCCGTGCTGTAAACACACACATACATGCACACACCCCTCACTAACTCACAGCTTCACTTTTGCTTGTCTCTCTCCCTGAAATGCTGTTTCTTCAGAGGAGGAGTGTTGCATGGTGCCAGTGGTGACAGGTTGAAATGGCAACCAACGGTGATGCCATTCTCCAGAAATAACCAGAGCACGTCCCGTGACCTCTTCTTGCGTGTGTATGTGCATGTATGTGTTTTCTCACAGACCACATACAGATCGTGATTGGAATTACAAGGAACAGTTTTTAAAATTACAGTGTATGGCTTTTTGATATCTTAATTTTTCCTCTTAATGTTTATATTATGAGCGTTGTTCCATGTTGTCTAAACATTCTTCAGAAGCATCATTTTTAATGACTGCATACTATTCCAGTCTTTGGGACTGCTCCTACTATCTGATCTCTTGTTTGTGGACACAAAGTATTTTCAACTTTTCACTAATTTTTAGTATTCTGAATTTAATATATCATGTGTAGACAGAACCACACCTTTTATGGGTGTGCTTCCTAACGTAACAGACACAGGGACCTGAACGAAATGTCACAGCCTATAGGTTCAAGGAATATTTAGAATGTTCTACACCTTGCTCTCATTCTGCAGTTTCTGAAAAGATTTAAGTTGCATTTTAGTTTGAAAGTTTACCAAGTGCTTTTTTTGAGGAAAGCTAACATTTGCTTATGCTTATGGTTCAGTTTACATAGTGATTTATGCTGGAAGTTTAAATTAGTGTGAGTTGGTCCTATTTAAGGCTTATAGTTTTTAGTCTGTGTTTTATATTCTTTTTTAAAACAGAGGCAGGAAGCAGGTGTCTCTCTCTCTCTCTCTCTCTCTCTCTCTCTCTCTCTCTCTCTCTCTCATTCTTTCATTCTTTCTATCTCTATTTCTCTCTCATTCTCTCTTTCCTCCCATCTATCTCTCATTTTCTCTCTCTCCCTCTCTCTCTCTCTGTGTCTCTCCATCTTCCTTCCTTCCCTCCTTTCATTGCCAAAACTCAGGACAAGTTGAGAATCTCAGTGTCCCTTCTTGAAACTACCTAAGGAGGCAGAACCCCTGGGACTTTGGTGAGTCAGACATTACTTAATGGATTTTTTTTTTTTTTTTGGATGGGGATTTAGTACCAGACAGTGAGCCTCCAGAAGGTGAAAAGCCACCAGAGGGAGGAGTGGCTGTATCTTCAGCAAAAATGGAAGAAGAGGAGGAGGAAGAGGAGGAAGAAGAGAGCCTCCCAGGGTGTACTCTGTTTATTAAAAATCTCAACTTCAGCACAACGGAGGAGACGCTGAAGGAAGTGAGTGGTTTCCCAGCATGGGGGCGGGGCTGTGGGTGAGACCCCAGTTTGCCAATCTGGTCTCTACACTGATTCTGACTTCAGCCGTGGCTCATGTTAGTAACCACAAACAGCCACCTTCTTTCGGCTCAGCCAAGGACTTGAGTAATAGTATAGTGACTGAGAGACTGGGAGGGCTCCCACATACCCTTTGGGGGCACACCCGAATATCTAGGAAGGCGTATATCATACAAAAGTGATGGTCAGCAAACCCCCCAAAATCATTTTTATGATGTCAACTTACCAAAGCAAATGTCAGCACGGTCTTTGTGGCCCAGAGGAAGATGTCACAGGCACGTCAGCGAGTGAGTGTCCAGCCCCCACCTGGAACTCCTGGGTGGGGTGAGGCTTCTGCATTTATGGGAGCAGGCAGGTGTAGAGGGAGAGGGAACTCTGAAGAGGCGTTTGGCAAATGCCAAGTGAGCACTGCACCAAGGGGCGGCTGGGACTTCTAGAAGGGGCTGGGCCAGAGATCAGGAAATGGGGCCTCCAGCTTCAAAGCATGGGGTTCTGCAGACTCCCCCGCTGCGCTGGGAGCTCCTTCAGGGGGACTCGTCATTTCTCAAAACTAGGACCGGCACAGAGTAAATTCTCACTGGATTTTTTTTAAATGAATGAGTGAATAACAGTAGGCTGGCAGCCATGAACTTTTTCTGGAAAGGAAGGTGGCCTTAAGAATTGAACTGATTGATTTCTAAAAATTCCTTTGAGCTCTAGAATTCTGTAGATGGGATCAAGAGAGAAGACAGTGTCCACTGAATCCCAGAAGCAGGAACATGGGGGGGGGCAGATGACACCAAAGCAAAGATTGGGTATGGGAGAGAGGTGCGGGTCAGATACCCCACTCTGACACCATCTGGCACAGTCTCAGTGACATGTCTATCCCCCTACCTACTGGAAGAGCACCCCCAGCAGCAGAGATACTCTTGCTAGTGCAGCAACATTTTAAGGAGCAGAGATTCACCTTGAGCATCTGGCAGTCCAGCCTTAGACTTCTTGTGGCTACTTCCAGAATCCATTCGTGTTTTGTTTTGCTTTTAAACAGAGACACACATGGGTAGTATCCAAAAGGTAGATGGCTTCGAATATATCAGCCCAGCTTGTGGTTGCTTTATTTTCATTTCTGGTGTGGGTCTTGCACAGGAACATCATTATCAGGGATCATTGTTTCCTGGGAGATGCTCGCAAGCATCAGCCTAAAGCATCCTCAGAATTAAAGAATTCTGGAGCTGGAAGGCACAGCCAAGATGAGCTAGTCCAGTCTCTGTATCACACGTGTGGTGAATGAGCTCTGATTGAGAGAAGTCATTTCACTGTGCTTAGGCCACACAGCCCAACGGGGTCACTGCCAGGAAGAGCGCCTGGCTCACAGGACTCCTGTCTTAGTGCTCTGAGTGGAGAGCATGGTTAAGGATCAGCCTGCCTGGGCTTGGATCACAGCGTCACTCTTTGCTAACGGTGGGACTCTGGGCATGTCCTTCGCCTTTCTGGCCCTCAGTTTCTTCACCTGTAACATGGGGATGTTAATAGAATCTACTCATAGGGGTGGGGGGTTGTTTTGATGATTTTATTAGGGCAGATGAGATAATCCCAGTAAAGCATTTGACACTTGAAACAAGGGTTGGTAAATGGCCTCTGCTTGTAGCTTTTGCTCCTCGGCATTGCCCCGTCCTTTGTGTCCCCTTGTTCTTCTGGTGAGCCCTCCCTAGATACCCGCCCTTCCCTGGGCCCCGTGAGTGGTGCTGAAGACACACCTGTGGACCCGATAGACAGGGATTTTGCCCTGGCTAGGTTTGCAAAGGAGACAGAAAAAGTAAGAGGAAAACAGAATCGAATATGACTTCCAATTTTTTTAAATTATGCTGCATTTGGAGCAGTGGCCATGAGAAGGGTCAGGATGGGGTCCATAGACTCCACACTTCCATGCTTACAGCCTGCTTCCCCTCTGCATGGTCTGCAGTCAGTCTCTAGTTGGTTCTTCCTCTGCAACTGGAGCAAGAAGCAAGCCCAGCTGCCCTGGTGGGACACCCCAGGGGTACTTAAAGTGTCAGGGTACTTAAAGTGAGTCATCAATCATCACCTCAGAAGTTTTTTGGACCCTAGGATATCCAGATGACAAGTTTGGAGGATTCATTGTTGTACAGGGGCCCTCACCTGCTTTGTGGTTGAGAGCCCGGGCTCTGGAGTCTGGGTTCCTGGATCTGCATGTCAGCTGTAGCACCTCTCAGCTCTGTGACCCCGGGTGCCAGTTATCACTCCTCTGAGCCTCAGTGTTTTCATCTGAGAAGTGGGCAGTTATAATGATACCTACCCCATGGTCACTGAAGGAGCCATGCACATGAAAGACTCAGGGTGGAGCCTGGCCACAGTAAGCTCAGTCCGGGTGCCAGTTCTGCTTGTGTTCTCTCCTCGGTGCCTCTGTCTTTTAAGATACACCTGCGCAGCCTCAGGATCTGTAGCAAATGCTGATGATCCATGATGACATTCTTTTCCAGGTGTTTTCCAAAGTGGGGATGGTGAGGAGCTGCTCTGTTTCCAAGAAGAAGAACAGAACAGGTATTCTACGAGAAATCGCCACCAGAGATAAGTGATTGCAAGAGTCTTGTCGCTTGGGGCAGGGCTCAGGCTAATTCTCACTTGTGTGTCCTGAAGGGCCTCGTTTGTTTTGGGCATTGGGACCCTCAAATGGTCTTGTTTTCCTTGTCTAGGGTGGTCCCTCTTGCCATGTCCCTGCAGACGCCTGCTTTTCAGTAGCACAATCTTGCATGCCAGGTCCTTCTGACTCCAGACCCTTCCCTGCCTTAGACTGTCAGAGATGGTTTCAGAGTGGTGCCATTTGTGGGTAGACAATGGTGACACCATTCAGTAGCAAAAACCTCTGCCGCCTCCCAGCACGTCTGTGCTCTAGAAACTTCCTAGGAAATAGCAAGGAATGACCAATCTTGGACATTTCCTCTTCCCTTCCAAGGGAGATAACCCAGTTGTAGAACTTCTGGAATATTCTACTGAGCCATCTTTCACCTCCTTGGTCAGCTGGTGTGTGGGCAGCCAGGGACCACCCTTGTCCCTCCATTCGGCCTCAGGTGCTATCCTGAGCCTCTTGGCCTCTGTGGGCTCTCCTCCAGCCCTGGCTTCCTGCAGGTCATGGGCAGGGTGAGTCCTAGCTTTCTCATAGCCATGCCGCCTGTCCTGAGTCCCTTTAGCTTGGAGGATTTGCAGGAATTCCCTACACATCAGCCTAAAACTGTCCTGAGCACTTGCAGTGTGCTGATGGCAGGGTGGCCAGGGTGTCTGCTGTTCAGTTATTTCTCAGACAGTTCCCAGGCTCCTCCAGGCAGCAAGTGTGACATTAGTTACATGAGACTGAAGGACACACAGTCCCTGCCCAGAGTCCCACAGGCTAGCTGGAGAGATAGTTGGCAGGGGGGCAGGAGCCCTACACAGGGTCTCCATGCCAGCCTGAGGCTTGGAGGGTGGGGACGCGGACCAACCAGGCCGTGGGAAGCGGCTGTAAGTGGCTGAGCCTGGGGAGCTTGTTGAGGAAGAGGAAGGAGGTGTGCCTGGGAAGATGGACAGGTTCCACATCAAGATGAGGTTTTTATGCCACACAGAGGACTTTGGACTTTTCCCCAGAGTTGCTGGGGAGCCACAGAGGGTTCCAGTCTAAGCAGACATGTGGCACAAAAGTTAGAGCATCCCTGGCACTCATTTGCTGAACTGCTATAACAGCACCACAGACTGGTGACATCAATGCCAGAAAGTGTTGTCCCACAGTTCTGGAGTCCAGGTGTCTGAGGCCAAGGTTCAGGCGACATCCATTCCTTCTGGAGCTGTGGGGTAAGTTCTGTTCCAGTCTGTCCATAGCTTGTAGGTTGGCTGCCTTCATGGTCACAGGGGGTTGTCCTGGCTTTGCCTGCCCATGTTCAAATCCTACCCCCTTTGGAAGGACACCAGTCATAGTAAGTCAGGGCCTACTCCGAATGTCCTCACTTAACTTGTTGCCTCTGTAAAGCACTTCTCAGATAAGGCCATCTGAACTGCTGGGAGTCAGGGTTTCAGCATGTGAATTTGGGGGGCAGTCAACCCGTAACATTTCTATTCTCCAGGAGCTTCAGATATGGTTTGAGGTCCAGGGAAAGGCAACTAAGTACCAAGTCAGTGTGATCAGAAGGGTCAGTTGTGGTGACTTCAGGAGCTGAGTCAGGTGGGCGAAGATGAGTCAGGTGGGCGAAGGTGGGCCACTGTGCCTCTTGCTGCAGTTGGATGCTTGCGGGGGCCCCTCTTTGAACTTGGGGTGCACTCATCAGCATGCTTTGGTAGTGTTGTAAGCAGCTCTTAAAATTCTTTCAAGAGCCTCTGTTTGACAACCCTGTTCTCTGGGGCCCAACCACCCAGCTTGGGGAAGACAAAGACAAAGTGCATCAGTCAAGGTTGCAGCAGGAAACAAAACACACTCAGCTGCGGTTGGAGGAGGGACACCTATAAGGCAGGGACCACGTGTCGAGGTGTGGGCTGGGCTAGGAGTGCCCAGAGATGTCCAGGTAGCAGGTCACATAGGAATGCCCTTCCCCCACTGGGCCTAAAGGAACATAGGAGGAAGGGCTCATTTGAAAGCTGGAGCCACAGAATGGCCAGAGCAGGAGCTGGGACTATGGGTTGGACATGGCCACACGGCCACCCAAAGCAGGGACTCAGGTAGGGCGTGTAGAAGGAACCCAAGCTCCAGCCTCCCTCTCTTACCCTCCCATCTCAGATCTGTGCCTCCTGCTGGCCAGTCCCAACAGGAAGCAGAAGGTAAGGAGCCCAGGTAGAGGTTAGCCTCACAGGGCATGGAAAAGGATAGAGCATGGATCTGCAGTGTCTGGCTGGGAGATGAACTTGACCTTGTCACAGTTGCCTTTCACGGCACTTTAAAAATGTTATACATACACAGATGTACCAGCCCATCAGCCAGCACCTTGAGCCTCCAAAGGAAGCTTCCAAAGAACAGACATTCAGAGTCCCTTTGAGGTGGTCCTGCCTGTCCCCAAAAGTTCTGTCTAAGCCGTGTGGGGTAGTTGCAAGAATTTCTGCCTGGCTCTGTAACACTGCTGTATGTGGATGGAAATGCAGACACTCAGCGGAGGGAAAGGCAGGAGCTGCTGTGAGTCGCAGGCAGAGAACTTCTGAGCCTCACTGGTCAGACTTAAGCCAATCTACTTACAAAGAATAAACTTGACAAATCTGTTTGAAATGCTGGGGTAGGGGTGGGGGTGATCCAATTTAGTGTCCAAAAGGCAGGGTGTAATCAGGGGTCTTAAATTTCTTAGTGCCTTGTGAGAACTCCCCCCCACCTCTGCCCACTCCCAGTCCTACATAGTCAGGAAGCAGGGGTTTCTGGCAAAATTTTTGCTATGGACCTTGCTATCCAGAGTCTTGCTACTGTCAACCTAGAAGTAGGGACCAGAGAAGTTGGAATCATGCAGTTGCCCACCCTATCTACACTTGATATCTGAAATCAGGAACCAAATGAAATCAGCTGGTCACAGGTCCTGGCCAGGAGGAAGCGTCTGGGGCATGTCACCTCCAGGCATGCACCCATGTAACATGCCTGGAAGCAGGGGACTGCCTGGGTAGAGGTTTTGCTGCATGTCACTCAACGGTCATCCCTGTTAGCACACTCTCTTCCCAAAGTGGAATTCTATTACGAAGTTAATTATAGTGTCACTCAGTTGTTAATTAATAGTCACTGGTCCTGAGGTGGCAGCCACGGGTGCTTCTTGGCTGGTTCGGCAAGAAGATGAGTAAGAAAGGGCAGCTGGAGCTAAGGTCTTTTCAGAGTGAAGCGGGGTTTGGGAGAGAGGAGAGAGTGGGCTTGCCCTTGGCCTTGCACTTACTCTGTGCCCCTCCCCTCCGCCCACTGATATGACTCCCACCCTCTGTTTCAGGGGCACTGTTTTCCATGGGGTTTGGATTTGTGGAATACAGGAAGCCGGAGCAAGCCCAGAAAGCCCTCAAGCAACTCCAGGTAAGCTGAAGATTTGCAGCTGAGGTCATGGAGGCTCTTGGGGGCGGGGGAAGGGGTCCCATCGGCTCTCTGGAACTGAGCAGAAATGTGTACGTCCGCGCTCTTCTGGGCCCATTACTGTGGCCAGATCTCTAGGGGACCATGGCTCAAGAAAAATGAAGAGCCCTTCCCAGCACTCCATGGTCACTGTAGTTCACTCATTCAGTCCACAGCACAATTATCATGGGTCTGGGTGTGCCAGGCATGGGGCTGTGCCTGGGGGAGGCTGCTCGTGTGGGCTTCTCTTTACAGTGGGGAAGACAGTCGACCTCCGAATAAATGCGCAAGACCAGGTCTTGGAAACAAAGCTGTGGAGTGGGGTGGGGAATGAGTCTACCTTAGGGTGTGTGGTCAGGGAAGGCCTCTCAGAGGAGGTAACAGTGGAACCAACACCTGATTGACAAGAAGAAGTCAGCTACTCAGAGATCTTGAGGAAGGTAGTCTAGGAGGAGAGAGCAGCATATGCAGAAGGCCTGAGGCAGGAACTCTAAGGGTAGGAATGAGTTTAGTATGTTTGAGAAGCAGAAAGAGGCCGCTGATAGGGGCTGAGTGGGGGCGGAGGGGATTGGGGTACGAGATGAGGGGAGAGGTGTGTAGGGCAGGGTCTTGTGGGCCATTTTAAGGACCATGGAATTTAGCCTAAGGCAGTGAGAGACCCTTAGGGGCCATGAGCACACTGGGGAAGGATCTGGTTTCTGTTGGGAACCATCTCTTCAGCTGTGGTGGAGAGGGAGAGCAGGAGGGCAGGTTGGAGACCCTAGAGTTCTCCAGGCATGGCCAGGGTGGAGGCAGACTGGGGAGAGGAGCTCTTTGGGCATGGACTCAAGTGCCTATTCAGACAGAGGGGTTAGGAATGTCCATCTCTAGGCCCCAAGTACCAGAGGCAGGCAGGACCCTTGTTAGCAGGAGGTGAGCTGGAGTCGTAGAGGGCAGAGCGGCCAGGATTTGCACCACCCCAAGGGAGCTGGGCCTCCTGATGCCGTGTCCCAGGCCCTTCCTGGTCGGGGCTACATGCTTGTTTAGCCTAAGTCCCCTCTGCAAGCCCAGTGGCTCTGTCTTCTCTTCACATCACTCGAGAGCCTGTATAATTTCACTTTGCACATGTGCTGTATTATGTTCTGTATGTCGCCGTACACATGCATATGTGAACATTGCCTCCAAGAATTGTTTATACAAAGCTATGTGTGCTATATTTTATGGGAGATTTAAGGGATTTTCAAGACTAATTTTGCTAATACACCAGTGTTGCCTTAAGGGACCAATGTTAGAGCCTAGCTTTAGAGGCAACTCCACTGTGATTTTGAATTTTCTTAAAGAGCGTACACTGTAAACCAAACTCTCTGCAAAAGGCCTGAGGGCTCACTTTGCCTGAAAATGCTTATAAACAATGGAAAATCCGGTGCCCCTTGAATGGCATAAAGGTTAAGACCTACTCCTGGCTCAAGAGAACATTCGAGGGCTGGGTCTTCGTGACCAACTGCTGCCTGATCTCGGCAGGGGCCATTTCAGGGAAAAGCCATCCTCTGCCCTCGATTCCAGCTAGGCCCTCTGCCTGGGAGCCATCAATCCCCATATACAAGCCAAGCGCTCTGCTCCAGTAAAGGGCAAGGATGCAGGTGAGTATGTCTAAGGACGGAGGGGCGAGCCATGTTGTCTCATCTCTTAGGGTCACGTCGTGGACGGCCACAAGCTGGAAGTGAGAATCTCGGAACGAGCCACTAAGTGAGTCTTCAGCATCCTCTGGTGTTCTTTGACTCGAGTCGCCCTTGGGGGTCTCATAGCCCTTAAATGTCCCTCTTCCTTGTCCCAGGACTGACCCATAAGAAGAAGAACAAGGGCAGAAGAGACATGCCAGTGACACCCATCTTGGTGGTATAATAAGCCAAGGGAGGGCTGTAGGTTGCCAGTGCTGAGCACAAGCCAGACGAAACTACAAAACCTAGATGTCTCGCTCTGTGGGGCTTGCTTCTCGGAGCTAGGATAACTGCCCGGTGCTGGCCTCCAGTCAGTTTGAGGGATGGGGGCAGACTGATGGGCCCAGCAACCAGCCTGCTGAAGTGGTGGGTTTTTAGAGACTGCGCTTTGCCCCTCCGCCCCTGCCCACTTGTACATCTAGATGAACAAATGCACGCGAGCTGCCTCGAGCCATTCCCGGCTCATGGCACGTGCTCGGCGACGCCACTGTGGTCATTATTGTCTGCTTGCCTTGGGTGATGAAGTGACCACCTCTAACAGTCCTGGAGCCAGCCTCAGATATTTATTGGGTAGTTTTCAACAAGTCGGCCATTTGTTGTAGTCGTCCAGCAAATTAGCTGCCGGGGAGCTGACCTTTCTTCTTCCTTCCCTGTTTGTTAATGCTGCTTGCAAATCCAGCTGGGCTGGCTCTGGTGTCTTCACCTATTGTGGTCTGTACTGTGTTGACCATCCTCAGCAAGAGGAGGCTTGGGATGGGACCCTCGGGAGGCTAAGAGGGGTTCCTGAGCTGTCAGAGTATAAGAGGAAGAGTCTAGGCTTGCAGGCACCTATACATTCAGGTTCTAATCTGCATGGGTGACTTGCCCCTGAAGTGAAATGCTCTCACTAGAGGGTGTGTGTAAGGCGCCCTGCATGTGCTGTGCCCGTGCACCCCTACCCGCGGTTCCTTTCTGTGCTTCATCTCCAGAGAGTCCACCTGAACGCAGCCTCGCGAGCTCTCACCCCCTAGCTAGCATTCATAGGACAATTATTCAACAGAAGGTTATGGAAAGCCCACATGTACCAGATGCTCCCCCCAGTCACTGGGGATGGAGTTTCCCTGTGGAGCTTGTACTCTAGGGCAGTGCTATTCCATAGAAGCTTCTGCAGTGATGGAAATGTTCTGCATGTGTCCTGTCCACGAGGGTAGCCACTTGCCACACGTGCCTATTTAGCCCTTGAAATGTGGCGAGAACAACTGTTTTTGTTTTCTATTGCTGCATAACAAAGTATCCCAAAGCCTAATAGGTTAAGCAATCATTGTCTCACAGTTTCTGTGGGTCAAGAATTCAGGAGTAGTCACCTGGGACTTCTGGCTCAGGATCTCGTAAGGTTGCAGTCAGGTTGTCAGCTGGGGCTGGGGGGCGGGGTCTGCTTTTAAGATGGTGCACTCACATGGCTGCCAGCAGGAGACCTCAGTCCCGTACCCTGGGGCCTCTGAGAGACTGCTTGAGTGTCCTTATGAGATGGCTGCTGGTCTCCCCCAGAGCAAGTGATTCAAGAGAGGCAGGGACCTGGTCTCAGAAGTCACCCACCATCCCTTCTGCTATATCTTGCTGGTCACACAAACCTGCCCTGACACAGCATGGCAGGGTTACACAAGGGCCTCTATGCCAAGGACCAGGAACCACCGGGCACCATGTCAGAGGCTCACTGCCCCAACTACTGAGGAAGTGAATTCTTAGTTTTGATTCATTTTCATTTAGATTTAGCTAGCCACGTGTGGCTGGTGGCTGTTGTATGGGACAGGACGGCCCCAGAGTGACGAGACAAACAATAAAGAGAAACATGATTAAGCTTATAATGTACATCAGACAGTGATAAGTGGCCAGGAAGAGAAGTGAAGCCGGGGGCAGAGGGGAGACTGCTGTTTGCATGGAGATAGGGAAGGTTCTAAGGAGGAGACATGGAGCAGGCTTGAAGGAAGTGAGTCATGACACGTTCACTGTCATAACTGCTGCCCTTATTTAATTGTTTGTTTTTTTTTTAGTTGGGCCTTCACTATTGCCAAGGCTGGGAGTGTAGTGGCATCCCAGTGGCACAGCTCACTGAAGCCTCGACCTCCTGGGCTCAGGCGAGCCTTCTGCCTCAGCCTCCTAGGTAGCCTGGACTACAAGTGTGCACCACCGTGTCTGGCTAATTTTTTACTTTTTTGTAGAGTCGAAGTCTTGCTAAGTTGCGTAGGCTGATCTCAAACTCCTGGGCTCAAGCAGCCTTCCCACCTCAGCCTCCCAGAGTGCTAGGATTACAGGCATGAGCCACCATGTCCAGCTGCCACTTATTCATTGTTTACCACATGCTGGGTACAGTGCTGAGTCTTCTCTCACTAAATCCTCACATAATCTGATGAGGTTGGCACTATTCTACAGTTGGGGAAACTGAGGCCCAGAGGGGCTAAGTAACTTACCTAGGGTCACACATATCCTGAGTGGCCAATTTGGCATTCACGCCTAGCTTGTTAACTCCCAGTCTTGCACACCACCCTGCCCTGTTTTGGTGGAGTGGAAGGTTTCTGCAGGAGAGCAGGGGTCAGGTAAGGTAGGACTACATTTGGCATGGCCTTGACCCCCAGGCTGTTTCCTCTCTTACCACCTGGTCCATCTCTGTGGTTAGGCCCCTGCATGCTCCTCCTCGGGTTAGTGATGGGGTGTCACAAACCAGACCTTTGGAAATCAGCAGGATCCCTCTGTGCATCTGGAGAGAATCAGTGGAGACTGGGTTTGGTAAGAAGCCAGCCACATGCTTGTTGGGGTTCCTTAAGTCTATGATATCTCTGATTCTCTCAAATGAAGGGCGAGCCAACCTTCCTCCCCCTTCGTCTTGGCCTCCCCCCACACACTCTTGAACATCTGAATGTTCTGGTGGAAGGGCAGTGGAACCTGTGGGAGGCAGGAGCTGCCGACGCCTGGGATAACTGAACCCTCTCCCCAACCCTCCAGACCAGCCCTGACGACTGCTCGGAAAAAGCAAGTTGCCAGAAAGCAGACGACCTCCAAGATCCTGGTGCGGAATATCCCCTTCCAGGCTGACAGCCAAGAGATCCGGGAGCTGTTCAGGTGAGAAGTGCTATTCCAGCCGGGGCATGTGGGTCAGGAGTCCGCCTGAGCCTCAGGGAAGACAGGCAGCTCTTGGGTCCTGCGTGGTTCCGCTGCAGGCCAGCGCAGTGGGCTTTCAAAGGTCATCTTTTGGCTGCCTTTGATTTATCTCCCTTAATCTCAGATGTGACTCCCCAGAGCATCATGCAGAAAAAAGTAAAAACAGCCAGGCATCCTCCTCCCGGAGGCAGCAGGAGAAAGGACAGGCAGGGTTCACCCATCTGCCCCCACAAGGTGCAGGAGAGTCAGGGGCCCAGTGGCTAAAACCCAGCTCAGTCCATGTCTGCTTGAATCTCCTCCAGGAGATTCACCCCTCAAGTTTAAGGTGGTTCTCCCCATCAGTGGCATAGTCTAAGCACCTGACGACCCTTGAAACACACCTTTGCTCAGGTTGTGCCCTGAGAGTTGAATTCCATTGGTCAGCTATGGGATCCACACATTGGTATTTTGATAAAAGCTTCCCAGGGAATCCTGATACCCAGCCAGGGTTGGGGACCACTGGTCTAAAATGCTTTTGAAATAAAGGTGAGTGACCTGTACACCGTTCAGTCCATCCGCACCTGCTCAGACAGGGCACCAAAAGCTCAGCTGTCTCTCAGAGGCCAGGCAGGTCACGGGATCCATAAGAGCAGGCTGGTTGGGGACTGAAGAGCTGGGCCTCTCTGGCTGCCAGCTCTGATGCCTTGCAGGAGTGCAGACTTTAGAAGACCAGTTCCCATATTTTGAAAGAGAAACTAGCAATCTGGATTTTTAGGGAGAATTCATCTGCATCTAAGTCACTTTTCAAAAACAAGGGCTTTGTCTTGGCCCTGGGCCACCAGTTTGTGACCCCTGTGCTGGCACATTACAATATTTGGTTTTTCAGATTAGTTAGGTGCCACCCAGCACCAAGCCCTACATGAGAGCAGTGTCCTTAGGACAGGGCATAAGATGGAGGTGCTTAAAGTCAAAGCAGTCCCCGGGCCTGTGAGGGGCCAGACACGGTCTAACCCTGAATGTAATGACATCAGCTTCCACCAGGCTGATTGCCCAGGATTGCTGGGATCTAAGAGTGCTCTGGTTATCTGCAGCACTGCAGCCTGCATGTAGGTGACTCCACACACGAGATCTCGTTCATGTAACCTGCATTAGCCGAGCCCAGGCATGAAGATGCAGAGGGACACCCCTATTGGAGTTGCCAGTTAGCCTCTTGTGGGGTCAGCTGGATGCAGGTGAGGCCCGTGTTTTAAAGCTGGGAAGAAATGATCTCTGTGAAGTCAACCCTGTTTGCTCTCACTCTGTGGTTTTAAGAATAAGAAGCTGTTTTGGGGGAGTTTGCTCCAGAACCCTCACCCTTCTCCCCCTAAGTCATGCCCTGGTGTTCAGTTCATTACCAGATGAGGCTAACCAGGAACCGATGCAGAGGCTGGCCCCTTCAGTGTGTGAGTCGCAGGGTCTTAGCTGCAGTCCCTGGGCAGAACAGCCTGGAGAGCTGGGGACAATTTCCATTTCCCCGAATCCCGGTAGATGAGTCAGGAGGAGTATGTGAGGAAGGTATGCATCTTGGCCTCTCACGTGTCTGCTTGTTTCCGCATGCTTCTGCTTTCTAAAAGGAGTCCAATTTAAGAACTGCCAGATCAAAACTGGCTCGCTCGGAACAACGCGTGGTGATCAGGAAATAACGTGCCGCCAGAATGACAGTTTCACTTGGTTCCACAGTGCATTTAGGATGACATTTATCCAGGGAAACAAAAGGCCACGAGGGACAGGAAAGCGCTTTGTTTGATCCTGCGTATTCTATTTTATATTTGGAAGACAGGGAATTAGTGTCCCCTGAACATGATTACATGTGGTGTCTCTTTTCCCTGCCATTATTCCCATGAGAGTTTTCATAAACCCCTGGAAACCTAATGCCTTGGTGGAGGGCTCTCCACCTTGCTTTGTTGTTTACCCTGCCTGGCGCAGTTTCAAGCAGCAGACAGCAGGGGTCGCTGTGAGTCTTCTCAGGGATGAAACCTTGTCCAGGTAAGCCCCAAACAGATTGCAGACAAAGCCACTGGCCAGCAAAGGTCATTAGCCAGGAAACGCTTTCAGGGTTTAGGGCAACCAGTCTGGTCCATTGTGCTGGGCAGTTTCCTGGGGCTTGTCCTACCAGGTGTGATAAAAATCACGCTGTGTGATCATGCACTTGCTGTGCGCTGGGCCTTGTGCTGAGCACCTTCCCGGACAGTGCCATCTCCTTTAAGCCACATAGCAGCCCTCAGGGGAGGGATGCTGCTACCCATTTTGCACCTGAACAGAAGGTGGACCCAAACAGAAGCTGGAGTCGTGGGGAGGTGTGGTGTCCTGCCCGGGACCACACAGCTGATCCAAGTCTGTCTGACCCAAGTCCCAGCTTGGAGCCCCTCCGCTCTGCCACCCATCCTCCTGGGCCTAGAAGGAGCTGCTCCCAGGTCCTGCCTGTGGGACCACCGTCCTGGCGTGGGTGTCATTTGCTCCTGGCGCGGTGTTGGGTGTCAGGCATGCAACGGCTTTAGGAGACCCAGGTTTCTGTCTCTGTGGAGGACCAGGAAGGAAACTGACAGCAACAGCCGCTGGGGTGGGTGCACGGGTGAGAGTGTGGGGCTGTGGAGAGCAAGCTCTGGGCAAGCTCTAAAGCCCACGCTAGGGCAGCAGCCTCCCAGTCCAGGGTGGCAGTTTTCAGGGCCCTTCCTGGAGGCCACCAGCCTCGCACGGGGGCCTCCCTGCATCAAACTCCAACCCCTTCACCAGCAGATCCATGTTTCTGTGGGTTGCCCCTTAGAAAAGTCAGAAAGTAGGCACCATAGTGAATTAGCTGACAGCGATGCTTGTCTTCTCTGCAGCTCGCTTTCTGGGCCTCAGTTTCTCCTGGTATGAAGTGGTAGTAGTCATGCTGATGATATTGTATGCTGCAGTTGGTGGTAGTGCTGCAGTAGTGAGTGTGAGTGAGTGTTCGTTTCTGGTAGCATGTCCCCACCACGTGGGCTGCAACACTTCTGTGATTAGGGCCTGTTCATCGCTGCAGCCTGTGGGGTCGTGTTCACCATCTCCAGTTCTCAGTGAAGAAACCAACTCTGGAACCTACATTCTACCTGGGTTGCCAGGTGCCTTGGGCTGCCACCCAGCTTGCTCCCTGGTTGTCCCAGGGGCTGCTCAAAGGATTAAATGATCTTTTGTGTGTGAAGCACTTAGTTCCTCACCTGGCACAGAGGAGCAGTGTTTACTAAACATTAGGTGTGCTGTTTGTTCAGCAGGATTTGAACCTGACTCTGGACAGAACCTTGTCCTTGATAACAGGGTGGAGTTCTTGAAGGCCTCGGTGGAGCTTACCTATTTCTCTCCTTCCCTTTGCATCTTCTCCTTCCCAGCCCTCCCTTACTGCTGTCCTCTCTGCCTCATTCAGCCGGGTGCTGGGGGAGAGACAGGAGGCCTGTGAGGGACAGGCAAGCCAGTGCCCTCAACCCCTAAAAGGAAATGTAGGAGGCTGGACAGATGGGGGCTCAGGCTGTGCACGTTTGAGTATGCACACGCACACAGACCTTTCTCTTGCCCCACCACCAGGACAAGGACAGAAACCACCCAGCTCAGCCAGCAGTGCCAGAGCTGTAAGTCAGCCTGGATCTAGAAGGAAGGAGTGTTAGACTAGGCACCGCCTGTCGGGTTCTGCTCTGGGGTAGATGTGTATGTGCTCTTGCCTCTGCTGTGTTGTTTATTTCATTCTTTCCCCACCACCTTGGGAAGCCCCAGGGCAAATGGGCCATTTGTTCAGAGGGCAGACTGCCTGGTGCCTGGAGCAGGCCTGAGTCTGTGCCCTCGAGTGATGCCTCTGCACTCAGGGCTGCCTTCCTGGTACACAAGACACTGTGCAAGGCTTGAGCATTTGGTGGAGGCGCTCTTGTTTCTGCCCACATTTCAAATGATGGGAAAGGATGTTAAAAAACAGCTAGCCCCTCCTCACAACACGTGGAGCCCTTGGGCACTGGCCACCCACGTCCCACGTGCTCCTTTGCGTCAGTTGGTCCTCACAGCAGCCCGGCATGACAGGACTATTGTTGTACCCGTTTTCAGATGAGGAACTGGCACAGCAGCCGTCCTAGACAGGAGGACCCGCCCTGGCCCGTTTCTGTCATATTCCATGGGGCAGCCTTGGTTTGCGCCTCCTGGGTTCTGGAAGGTGCTACCTGCCATCTTCCAGGAGGGAGGTTCCACAGTGTGGCTCGTGTAGTCGCCTAAGGCCCTGCGCTGGGGTTCTGTGCGGTCGCCATCTTGAAATTGTCAATAACTTTTGAACAGGGGACCCTGAATTTCCATTTTGCATCAGGCCCTGCAGGTTAGGTACCCAGTCCTGCCTGCAAACTGGTGGAAAGATCAGAAAGTTTGGAGCACGAGCACAGTTTGGACATGGGACGGCCTCAGGCTGCTCACCTGAAGGGCAGGAATGAAGCGTTTCTGCTTCCCCGCCTCCCTGCTCAAACAGCGAAAGGCTTGATGAGGGGATGGGTGGGCAGACTGACTGGGGAGGGCAGCGTTTCCCACAAGCTTGTCTGTCGCTCTCATTGCTGTCACTTAGGCCCACTGTGGAGGACGTTTCAGCCCTGCCCTCTGAGGTGGCAGAGAATTAGCCAAGCGGCTCTCAAGTCCAGGCCAGGTGGAGTCCTTTCTGGGGGTGGTCCTGAGGGTTCAGTGCAGTTCCTGCTTTTCCTGTGTTGTGTCCCCTCTGCTCTTGGGGCCCCAGTTTTCCTCATCTGGGAAGTGGGGATTAAAAGCACCTGCCTTTCAGCTGGATAATGAGGCATCAGAGCACATGAGACACCTAGCACAGGGCCCAGTGAGCACAGGGTCACTCCTGTGATTCCTCCAGGTGGCCAGTCATCCAGGAGCACTGCTTGGTGTCAGGTTTCAGAAGACGGAGTCTGGTGGGTCTGGAGGTGAAAGACAGGGCTCACCGGCTGCCCGAGCTC